ATTACAAAGCGGACATGTGATGATTTGATATTCATAGATATCGTGATTCCCACAATTAAGTAATCGCATCCATCAACTCCATGGTTGCCTGTGTTAGTGAGAACGCTTCGGAGATCTACTCTGAGCAAATTTCAGTGACACAATACAGCACTGCCAACTGCAGTCACCATCGACCTGTGCGTTAGATCCCCAAGCATGCTCATCTTATAACTGACCGTTCATACCCTTTTGCCAACCTTCCCTGTCTCCTCATCCCCCTGGTCCTTGGTAACCACCACTCTACTCTCTGATGCTATGAATTCAAGTTTCTTTTTTCATTTTTTCAGACTGCACCTATAAGTGACACCGCACAATATTTGCCTTTCTCCATTTGGCTTATTTCACTTAGCATCATGCCCTTTGGGTTCATTTGTGTTGCTGCAAATGGCAGGAAGTCCTCTTTTAGGATTGAATAGTATTCTGTTGTGGGTTCCACACCGGCTCATCCTTTAAAACGGGGGACATATTCTGAGATATGCGTCATTGGGCAATTTCGTCATTGTGCGAACATCATAGAGCTTACTTAACACACCTATGAGGGACAGCCTCCTACAGTTGGTGGGAGAGCTCTGGAGTGGGAGGCCTGCTGCCCCGTCAGATGGTGGGTCTGAACTAGCATGTTCTCTGTGGTGGGCCTCTGTGAAGCTCGGCCACAGTCCCTCCTGAGGCAGAAAGTCGTCCAGGGCCCCCAAGTGTGGCCAGCTGCCCCAAGTGTCTCCACGGGCCTGGCCCCGAGCACCCTCTGCTGGCCGGTCCAGAAAAACAAGCCCACCAGCCACCCAAACACCTCCCCTCCACCTTTTTCTTTCTTTAAAAGTAATTAAAGTAATTAAAGCATTTTTATGGACTCCTCAAAGTATGGCGGTCACTCCATCCTCCTCCTCCCAGGAGGTCTGGTGGAAAAGTCTGCGCTTCCATCAAGGGGGAGCGAATCCTCACATCTCGCCCACATGCCATGTCATAGCAATTCAGGGTGCCTGCACTTATTACCATCCATCAGGCACTAAGGGAAGTGCTTCCCATGAATTGTCTTATTTTTATTCATTTTACAGATAGGGAAACTGACATTCAGAGAGGTGACGTGACCTGCCTCAGGTCACACAGCCTGGCACAAAGCCTGTGGTCTAGTCCTTTCCCCAGGGATTTGCCCTGGGCCTGCACCTGGGTGGGCACTCAGAGTTTTGCAGTGCAGACCTGCCATACAAGGGTGCGCTGTCATGCTCACTGCTGTGCCCACAAAGTCTCCCAGGACTATGCCACCCCTCTGCCCTGGCAGTCCCTGCTGGGAAATCCCAGCCCTGCTTTACAGCGCCCGCCCTGCTCCCCACCCGTGGCCCTCCCCAGGATCCAGACCACCTCCAACCCCAGGCACCACCTTGCCCAGAGCTGGCTGTAGCTCAGACAGTGATGAGCTGGCACTGTGGCAGGGGTTGGGGTGCAAGGAGCACAAGCTTCTCCCCTGTGAGTTCCACCTTGACCTGGGCACTTCCTAACCCTCATTGTTAGTTGTAATTTGGTCGTTATTATCAGCGTCTTTGCCTTTTTTTTTTTTTTTTTTTAATGTACTGGGGTAACATCAAGTTTACCGCCCTGTGTAAATTTCAGTTGTTCAACTTCATACCTAAACTTCTGTAGAGACCACCCCACTCCCACCACCATGGATCGACCCCTCTACCCACTACCATGGCGCCCTCACCCTTCCCCTCCTTGGGCAACCACATGCTGTTGGCCAACCCAAGGATTAGTATGTTTTGTTTTGTTTAATCCTCTGATTCCACACAAGAGCAAACTCAGTGTTTATCTTTTTCTGGCTGACTGACTTCACTTAGCACAACCCTCTCAAGGTCCACCTCGGTGTATGTAACACGGCTTCCTTATCTAGTCATCCTGCCTTGGCTCTTCTTGTCTCCAAGTCCTGGCACTTGGGAAGAGTGCTGCAGTGAACATGGGTGCATGTGTATTTTCCAATTCATGTTCTTGCTTTCTTGGGATAAATACCCCAAAAGTATCCGTATTTGTCTGCAACTGGCTCATGGCTGGAGGCTCAGTGTGGACAAGTCTGAGAGGAACAACTCTAAGGGCCACGGCCCACTTCCCCACCAGTGTCCTGGATCACAGACTCACTCCTCCAGGGGCCTGCTGTCCTGGGCTGCTCCCCGCCACTGCTGCTGAGCTGACAAACTGCAGGTGGGCCTGCTTGCAGAGTCTGATATACCCACTGAGTCGAGATTTCTAGAAACGAGTGGGTTATTTTGAAGCAAATCCCAGAAATGAATTGTAAATACTTCAGGCTATGTCTCTAAAATATAAAGAAATCCCTGTCGGGGTGCAGAGGGAAAGTCCATCACTCCTCCAGGTTCTTCCTGGGCTGGATAAGCAAACATGACTCAATTTACATGACTCAATTCTAAAGTCAAGGAGGCCAACTGGGAGTTTATTTTTTGTGCTGAGGAATGGGGGCAGTGCCTGGGGCATCTAGGAGATAGACTGGTGGTCTCACATGAGGAAGACATAGGTTTCTCCATAAAAAGGTTCTTTCTAGGGGCCTCCCTGGTGGCGCAGGAGTTAAGTCTCAGCACTATGAAGCTATCCACAGCCACTGCAGCACGAATTCAATCCAAGGCCAGGGAGCTGACCCACGTGGCACAGCAGACCTCTCCTGTCTCCCCGCTGCTCCCTCAGCAGTGGATTTCAGTCAGTCTGCCTGTTCTGTTCCCCACTCTGTCTCTGGTGAATTCTCTCACCTTCCACACCTCTGGCCTGCACCCCAGCTCTTGTACACATAAATATATCCTTTCTAGAGATGTCCCTAAATCTGGGTAATTGACATCCCCAACACCATTAGCACACGTAAAACATTAATAATTCCTTCATAAGGTACAATACCCCATTGATGTTCACGTCTGTCCCATTAGACGTGCCTCCAACATCTGCGGGGCCCCAATGGAGCCCACATACCAGGTGGCCAGATGTTCCCAAGTCTCAGTGAAGCTTCACACTGGCTTTCTCCACAGGCCCGACAGCCCCCGCTCTGAGGACCACTGCAGAGGAACAGCAGCTAAGGCCGTTCTCTGCCCCTGCCTCCATGCCACCTGAGCGGGGTCACCTGGCCAGGGCCCAGCTCCCTGAGCACCATTACTGCGGGGGCCTATCTGCCTGCCTTGGGTATTTGGCCAGGGCAGAAGTGGGGGTGTCTTACAACCCCCAATATATGCACTTGCCCTTCCTACGACTGTTCATCTACCTGTCTACCTTGGCCTGGGCCTCTACCTGACGCTCAGCCCACAGCCTCTGGTCAAAGAGGCCCAGTTCAGCTTCCCTCCCAGTAACCCTGCTCATTCAGTTCATCCTCACACTTGGAAACCAAGACTGAAAAGAGCGCCTGTGTTCATCACAGCACAACTCACATGGCTGGCGCTGAGCGCCTACGACGGAGGAGCATATTGGGAACATGTGTGTGCACGAAGAAAGATGCTCAGCCACGAGAAGATGACGTCCCGCCACCGCCATTTTGAAATCTTGCCATTTACACAACGTGGATGGACCTGCAGGGGGTGATGCCAAGTGAAGTAAACCAGAGGGAGGGACAAAGATCGGATGGTTCCACTCGCGTGGGAGACAAAGACACAAAGCCAATGAGTGAACAAAAAACAGGACAAAATGGTGGTGACAGAAGGGGAGGGGAGCCTGGGTGGTAAATCAGGAAGGCGGTCCACTGTTTGGCTTTTCTGGTGATGAGCAGTATCAGCTTCTACAGACGTGGAATTTGAACATCGGGCACCCAAAATCTATGTAGTGTTAGAAACCAATGTTACTTCAATAAGAAATGTTTTAAAAAGAAGAGACTTCCAGAAACATCAGTCCCTTGCGGGATGTGTGTGTGTTGGTGCTTATAGGTTTTCTAAAGCAGAGGCGGGCTGAAGGACACCCCTGATTGTCGCTTTCACACCATTTGACTCAGAATCCCAGACGAGTCTGTAATCGTCAGACTTCATTTTGAAATAGTGAGACCTACAGAAAAGGTGAAGAACTGTACGTGGCCACGCACATTGACCACCAGACGTCCCAATGCTTCATCCCTAAACGCTTCAGCATGCGCCTCCTTAGACCACCCCTCCGTGCCCACCCAGCATTATCACCCTGAAGAAACTGACCATGGTCCTCTGATACACAGGGCCTGTTCCGGTTTCTCCAGCCGTCCCACGGGTCTCTGGTGTGAACTTGCATTGTTCTTGCTGTCACCAATCCAGGCTCCAGAGAATGTTCTCTTGCATGTTGTGTCTCTTTTAATCTAGAACTGACCCCAATCCCCAAACACGCCTTTTTTTTTTTTTTTTTTTTAAAGATTTATTTATTTATTTATACAAGCACTGTGTACAGTCAGAAGCGTGGGAGGGTGAGAGAATTCACCAGAGCCAGAGTGGAGAGCAGAACAGGCAGACTGACGAAATACACTGCTGAGGGGAGTAACGAGCGCAGCAGGAGAGGTCTGCGCGCCATGTGGGACTCTCGCTGGTGGCCGGGGATTGAACCGGCGCTGCAGTGGCTGCGGGCAGCTCTGCAGCCCAGTGCTCAACTGCTGCGCCACCGGGGAGGCCCCCACGCCTTTCTTTTTTCATGGCTGTGCTGACACAGCCTCTGAGAAGCAGATGCCAGGATGGGCTGAGACAGACAAGAGATCTGTTAGGACAGATATGTGGAGGGTGTGGAGGAGGGAAGGAGCAGAAGAAGTAGGCATTGACGGTGCAGTGGGGCTGCAGCTCTGGCTCTCACCCCCTTGGAGGGTGGGGAGAGGGAAGGGAGGCAGGCAGGCAGGAAGCTCTCAGATTGCAGTTCTCAGAAAGTTCCAGCAACAGCCTGCCTCTAACCTTCCAGGTGGGACTAGAGGAGACTTACACCGTTGACCCCCTAATTCTTGGGACTAGGACTGGGACTTATAATATTGATTCCCTGGTTTTTAGGGCTTTGGACTCAGACTGAATTATACCACCAGCCTTCCTGGTTCTCCAGCTTGAACGCTGCAGACGGTGGCACTGATTGGTCTCCATCACCACGTGAGCCAACTCCTATAGTAAACCTTCTCTTCTGTGTACCTGTCAATGTATCCTATTGGTTCTGCTTCTCTGGAGGAGGCTGATACACTACACGTCCCAGTTGTCCCAGAGGGTCCTTACTGAGACCCACTGTTTCCGTGTGGTTACCTGCAGTGCTCTCTTTTACTCTTAAAAATGTGGCCTGGTTTGGACAATAAATTATTTTATTCTTTTATGAGAGCAATGACATTGCATACTTCCGATATGCATCCCACCATTTCTCTTAAATTTTTTTTTTAGATTTATTTATATATGCATAGAAGAACTGGGGTGTAAGCCAGTGGTTGGGGTGGGGTGAGAGGATTCAACAGAGAGAGTGGGGAGCAGAACAGGCAGATCTACTGAAATATACTATTGAGGGGAGCAGCGGGTGAGGCAGGAGAGGTCTGCTGCGCCATGTGGGTTGCTCCCTGGTGGGCCGGGGTTGGAACTCACGCTGCAAGGCTGGCTATAGATTGATAGTGCTGTCTTTAACCCTTGCGCTAGCAGGGAGGCGCCATTTTTCTTAAATTTTTTAACTCATGTAATCCTTACAACCCTTGAATAGTGGGTTGAATAGTATTATATCCACTTACACTTTAAGAATGCTAGGCCCAGGCCTCCCTGGCGGTGCAAGAGGTTGAGCACAGCACTGTGAGGCTGGCGAGTTTGATCCCCGGCCGGCCGGGAGCTGCCCACATGGCGCAGCAGACCTGTCTCACCCACTGCTCCCCTCAGCAGTGCATTTCAGTGGCTCCACCTGTTCTGCTCCCCACTCTGTCTCTGGCGAATCCTCTCACCCCTCCAACACCTCTGGCCTGTACCCCAGCTCTTATATGCATAAACAGATGGATCTTGAAAAAAAAAATCCAAGACCCACTGCTAAGCTGGAAGCAGGGCCTCAGCACTAACGACTGGGGATAGGTTTTAGAGTCAAGAGTCCCCTTAGTCATTAGGCCGCTGGCGTCAGAAAGACCCACAGCCAACACATGGCTCTTTTTACATTTTACTCACTAGATTACTAACTTGTTATAAAAGAACATAATCCAGGAACAGCTAGATATAAGATGCATAGGGCAAGGTATATTGAGGTACAGAGCTCCCACGCCCTCTCCAGGCAGCCTGGACACTCTCCAAACAGGTCCCGCTCAGGATTTATGGAGGCGTCCTCACATGGGCGGGTTGACTAAATCACTGACCAGGTTGATTGTTCAACCTCCATCCTCTCATCTCTCCTGGGAAGTCAGGGGGGTGGGACAGAGAGTTCCAACCTCTAACCACATGCTCGACAGTCCTGGCAACGAGCCCCCATCCAAAAGTCACCTCATCAACAAGTACTGATCTCTCTCAACAGTTAGGACATTCCAGGGGTTCTGAGAACTGTCCGCTGGAACCTTGAGCAAAAACCAAATACATAGAAAAGGTTTATTTTGGTCATCTGAATGACCAAATGTATTTTTTCTTATAAATCACAATATCACAAGGCCCTCCACGGGTCTTCACCTGGGTCATTTTGTCATTAGTGAGGATTGACATGGTGAAAGGCCACTTTGGGGCCTCCCTGGTGGCGCAGGCGGTTGAGCGCAGCGCTGTGAAGCTGTCGCAGCCTCTGCAGAGCCAGTTCGATCCCCGCCAGCCTTGGGAGCAACCCACATGGCGAGCAGACGTCTCCTGTCTCGCCCACTGCTCCCCTCAGCAGTGTATTTCGGTCAGTCTGCCTGTTCCGTTCCCCGCTCTATCCCTGGTAAATCCTCTCACCCTCCTGCGCATCTGGCCTGTACCCAGGCTCTTGTATAAATAAAAAATAAATCTTTTTTTTTTTTTTAAAAAGGCCACTTTGGTTGTTGGGGAGCAGGGGAGGGAGGGTTGATCAGGGTAGTTGTAAGGACTGAGTGGTGATCATGCAAGAAGGCATATGTCACTCTGCCTGGTACCAGTGACCACTTGCTAAATATTAGCCTTTTCTGGCCAGGGTGCTCTCCTTCCTTCCCTGCCCCTGGAGAAGTTGGCAGTGTCCCTCAGCTCTAGGAAGCATGTTCAGGAATGCAGCAGCCATCTATTTGCATCTGGTGGGTCCCCTCCAGGGAAAGAAGGCTGGAGCTTCTGTCACGCGATGCTTGCACCAGACTGTAAGTGCTGTAACCCTGCACTCTGCCCACTGCATGCCCTTGGGTTCCTGGGATCTGGCTTGGTCCTGGCTTCAAAACTGCCCGTGGGTCTCCTCTTTCAGGAAGCCTTCCCTGACTGCAGCCTGGACTGGACCCTTTCTTTGCCCTTGTCTCTAATCTAGAACTTGTAGCTCTGCATGTGAATATTTGGTAGTTGCTGCTGCTTCCCATCACTCCCCATGCCCAGCCCAGCCTCCAGTACATAGTAGATGCTCAATAAACAGTTGAATGAATCCATGACACATAGCCTGCGAACTGGTACTGTATCATTTATCCAGGTGCTGTGTAACATACTGTGTAACATACTCCTTTGAGTATCCCAGTTTTCCAGGGTCCCCCCCATTATTTTTATTTTCTTCCTGTACTCAGTCCTCTTCTCTCACTTCCTCTGTTCTTTCTCTCTGCATCACTCTACTCCATCCCCAACCCCAGCCCTCATCACACTTTCTTCCCTCCAACTTCTACCCCTTTCCTTCCACCCCACCCCCACTGTGCCCATCTCCTTTTATTATTTTTAATATGATGCATACCACCAACTCAAAAAAAATTCCTTCTTTCATTGAATCCAGGATGCCATCAATTGTAAGATGCATTGCTGTTTTATGAGCTAGTAGAGGGAAAACATTAATTAAACATCAATTAAGACACATCCAAATTCAGAAAAAGTGCAGTGCAGAAAAAAATGCTGTGTTCAGAATCAACCAAATATGGTATACTCTCTAAAAAAGACTTAGAGGCTGCCTTCCTGGTGGTGGAGGGGTTAAGTCTCAACACTATCAAGCTATTGCCAGCCACTGCAGTATGAGTTCAATCCCCAGCCAGGGAGCTGGCCCACATGGTGCAGCAGACCTCTCCTGTCTTGCCGCTTAGCAGTGTATTTCAGTAGATCCACCTGTTCTGCTCCCCACTCTGTCTCTGGTGAATCCTCTCACCCTCCTACTACCTGCACCTCTGGCCTACACCCTATATGCATAAATAAATAAATCTTTAAAAAAAAAAGACTTAGAAACACAGAGAAGCTCACACATGAAATTAAGTCACGTTCAATTCCACTACGTATTTACAAACAGACATGAGGGTGTTTTTACAAAACTTAACCATACTACACATATATTTTGCAGCTTCTTGGTATCAGTATATCATATTGATGTTCTTCTAAAATGTGATTTTTCTGCCATACTTTAAAATCATCAAAGCAAGACATTTGTTTAAGATTTGGAAAACAGGGCCTCCCTGGTGGCGCAAGGGGTTAAGACACAACCTATGAAGCTCTCCGTAGCCACTGCAGCACGAGTTCGATCCCCGGCCAGGGAGAAACCATATGGTGCAGCAGACCTCTCCTGACTCACCTGCTGCTCCCCTCAGCAGTGTATTTCAGTCAATCTGCCTGTTCTGTTCCCCACTCTGTCTCTGGTGAATCCTCTCACCCCCTCCCCACACCTCTGGCCTGTACCCCAGTTCTTGTATGCATAAATAAATAAATCATTAAAGAAAAAAGATTTGGAAAATAAGAAAACTAAGAGAAAGAAAAAACATTATGTTAACCAACTAACCCAAGATAATTATCACTAACATTTCGGCTATCACATGATTTTCCTTGGGAGGAATCACCCTCATTTTAAACAGTTTTGATTTAAAAGGTGTACTGAGTGACTAGCACGGTGGAGGGCATCAGGGAGTCGGAGGAGGAGAGGACTGCTGGAGTTGGTGAAGCTCCCAGCAGGTGCCAGGCCCAACCTCCCGTGGGGATCCTAGGCGGCAGGACACCTGGTTCGCACTCAGATGCTCTGGGATGGGGCCTGGCGCGAAGAGCCCACCCCCTCTGACCAGATCCTGTCCAGCTGCTTCTCTGACCTCGGGCAGGCCCCTCTATCTCCCCCAGAACTCAAGGTCTTCATCTCTAGGTGGGGGTTTACATGGCACCGCCACCAGTGGGGACTAAGCAAGATGGTGAGACACGGTTTGCTTTACTGCTATCCCAGCAGGTGGCGGAGGACATTAGCTCCCCGGCCCACTAGCCCTTGGACACTCAAACCCACCAGACCGGGGGACCACAAAGCCTATGCGCCTATCACAATGATGGGGAGACTGAGGTCAGGAGGTGCTCAGTCACCTGTCCAATGTCACCCAGTCCAGGCAGGCTTAGGACCTGAGTTTGAGGGGAAAGCAGGCTTGGAAGAAATATGGGGTGCGGTGGGGACCAGGGTCAGGCTCCTGAACTCCTCTCAGGACTGAATGTGTGTCCCCTTCACAGGAGTAATAAAGTGGCCTCCTAGTCTCAAGATGGCCTGAGCCTGGGTATTTTGTTGCGTGACCTTGTCAGACATCCCCCACGCCCCTACTCCCATTTTCCCATCTATAAAGCAGGCCCAGCCAGATTGTTCTGAGAAGTAAGAAGGTAGAGCTTACCTAGACCTTGGTCCACAGAAGCTGCTCCTGCTCCATTTCCCCTTCTCTTTCCCTGCTCTCCTGCCCCTCTCCCCCTCCTTCCTGCCCCTCCTCAATCCCCTGGCCTTCCCGGGTCAAATTTTAACTTGGCCGAGTCTGGTGTGCCATTTTGGAGTGCAGGAGCCCCGGGCTAGTCGAGGCTGGTGGAATGGGGTGGAGCCGGGCTCTGGCTGGACTGGAACTTGCCTAGCCATCTGGAGGCACTTAAACTCCACCTCCTCCCTGGGAGTGGTCCAGCCCCACTGCCAATCTGTTATAGAGCAACCCCGATATTAAACGGGTTCCTGGCTGTGGGTCCTCACCCGCGCGCTTTAAAGGGACTTATGAATACTCTACTACAGACACACGCCAAAGGGTTAATAAAAGGTTTATTTACAAGAGAAAAGGAAATAAGGAAAATGTACAACTCAGGGAGAAAATAGGGAAATAAAGTCTTTAATGCGTCCTACCCGATCCGCCGACCTGGAAACCCAAAGTCACTCTCAGAGCTGGCAGGACGCTGCTAGCTGGTGGACAGCCAAAATGGGGGAGCCCCCCAAAGCCCACGTGTCTGCCTTTTGTATCCACCTGGCTGCTTAACCCCACCCTCAGGTCCCAGCCACCTTCCCTTTGGTGGTGATGGGATTTGGAGTTCCCAGTGTCTTTGGCTTTGACCTGGGGTGGGGGTGGAGTCCACAAAGCCTATATGGAATTTGCTTTGGGACATCCTTTTCCCCCTAACAAATCCAGGACTCTGACTTTCCCCTGTGTCTGCAGGTTGCAATGGCCAAACGGCTGCAGGCTCGCAGACTGGACGGGATTGACCACAACCCGTGGTAAGCGGCCAGGGCAGGGGGTGCGTGGGTCTCCCTGCAGGCAGGCGGGCAGGTGGGACAGGCGGGCAGGTGGGACAGGCCGGCAGGGGTTTGCCATCATGCAGCAACACCGCAGGGGGCTGCTGGGCGTGTAGCCCCTCCTGTGGGAGCCAAGACCCAGAGCAGCGCGCGCGGTTTGAATCTCAGCTTTGCCGGCTCGGCTGTGGCGTTGGGCCTGACACCCCAGCCCCAAGCTGCAGCCCCAGCTGCGAGGTGGCGATGGGACGCCACCCTCCAAGGCCTTGGAGGAGAAGGTGCAGCTTTAGGAGGGCAGTGCAGTCACCCAAGCCCCCAGGCCGTTGCTTCCCCTGAGCCTCTGCTTCACAGCCTCATAGACAAACAAGCCAGACAAGAGCAGGGCCTCATTGGATGCTGGGATCTTATCTGTATTGACTTGTTCTAAACCCCAGAGGGGCCTGAGGCCTTGTTACTCCCAGTGGTTCAGTGCCACCACGGAAATATTTAACTATCTTTTGGCCAGGGACAGAGAGACACCTCTGTGGGGTTTTTTTTTTTTTTTTTAATGTTGTCAACTGTTCTTTTTCCGAAAATCAGGAACATTTTTTCTTTTACCCTCCCCCCACCCCGCATACAGTACTCTGTTTTGTGGTGACCTCCCACCTCTGTTGGCCTTTGGATGTTCCCTGGCATTTGGGATGAGGAAGTTGTGGGGTTGGGGGCATAAGGGGAAGAACTGGAGCCCTTTATCAAGCCGCTGGCAACATGCAAAGTGGGATTGCAGTGTCCCAGCCCTGAGGTTGCCGCCCTCTGCCTTCTCAGTATTGATAAAACCCAACACAGAAGGGGAGAAATGGCAAGGAGGCAGACTGGGAGAGACAGGGAGACTCCTGATTCCCAGACCTGGCAGGCTTTTGGACCCAACACCCCATTGTATAGAAGGAGACCCAACCCAGAGGGCAGTGGGTCTCTGAGGGTGATGGAGCCTGGCTCCTCAGTCCCAGTCACCAGGGAGCATGCGCTCCCTGCCACTAGGTGCTGTGTGACTCCGGGCAGGTCACTGGCCTCTCTGAGCCTCTGCAGTGTGTGTCTTCAGGGGCACTGTGGAGCTCCGGAAAGGAAATGGCTGATTTTAGACCTGGTCACAAGCATAAGCTTGGCTTTAGATAGATGTGACTGAGCTATCCACTGACTAGGAACCTGTGGGTAAATCATTCCTAGCCTCCATGAGTCATGAGGGAAGGTGCCAGTGGGTCAAGAAATCCATCTAGGAGGCCTAAGTTCTAAAGAATAGTGTAGGCCAGAGTAAGCTGAAATCCTGCAGTAGATCACACCAGAAGGCCTGTGTGGCTTCCTTGCAGCTGCCCTCTGGGGTTTGCTGTAAAGATGATTTCTTACCAAGGATTCTAGTCAAAAAAGTTTGAGTGCCTCGGCTAGGCAATCTGCACAGTGGCCAGCACACCTAATCTCAAAGTGTGACCCTCACACAACTCTTCAGGCCAGGGTGGTTGCTAGTTGTCTGTTCTTTCTAGAATGAACCCAGTGCCATGATTCCCCTGCCCTGGAAGTCAGCAGTCCAGGTTGGGGGTGAAGGGAGACTGGTGCTGACAGTGCCTTCGTCCCCAGGGTGGAATACACCAGACTCGCCACTGAGTATGATGTCGTGAACCTGGGCCAGGGTTTCCCTGACTTCCCACCCCCAGACTTCGCAATAGAAGCCTTTCAGCACGCCGTCAGCGGGGACTTCATGCTCAACCAGTACACCAAGGCCTTCGTGAGTCTCCCAGTGCCTCCAGGGTACCCCCGCCCCCACTATCCCCTCACACAAAGACAGGCCTCAGAGGAGGCCCTGGGAGAGAATAGCCTTATTCTTTTTAATGACATTATAGTCTTCCATTGCCTAGATGTGCCATGGTTTATTTAACCAGTGCTATGCTGGTGGACTGGTTCAGATAGTTCACTATTCACTCACTATGCCACCTATTTGTACACACGTGTTGAGTATTTCTCTGAGATCAATTTCTAGAAGTGAACTAGAGACTCAAAGGGCCTAAGCATATAAATGTGTGAAGGGTTTGTCAAATTGCCCTCAGGAAGGGGCCTCCCTGGTCGTGCAGGGGGTTAAGATGCAGCACTGTGAAGATATCCACAGCCACTGCAGCACAAATTTGATCCCCAGCCAGGGAGTTGACCCATATGATGCAGCAGACGTCTTCTGACTTGCCCGCTGCTCCCCTTAGCAGTGTATTTTAGTCAGTCTGCCTGTTCTGTTCCCCACTCTGTCTCTGGTGGATCCTCTCACCCCCCGCATCTCTGACCTGCACCCCAGCTCTTATATGCATAAATAAACAAATCTTTTTTAAAAAAATTGCCCTCAGGAAGTTCCTCACCCAACTGCTTAGAGCCAGCAGGATAGCCCACACTTTGGGTTAAAGGGAAGACGGACCCATTTGTTGTCAACTGTGGCAAGAATCATTCAGTGTTGCTTTTATTTGGTTTTCCTTCAATTATTATTCTTTTCACTTGCATCTTTTTCTTTCATGACCTACCTCATTTTTCACTTGGGGGCATGTCTTTGTCTTATTACCTGTAGAAGCTCTTATAAAATATGTCTTTTGCCTCATTCTCTTATATTGCAGTGTTTTTTATCTTTGTCTTTTAACTTTGCTCATGGTAAATTGTGCTGTTCAGAAAATATGGTTAAGTCAGGTTTTCTGTTACTTAGTTTAGTTTATTAAGTTAGTTTAGGCTTTAGCACTTGGCTTAGCCTTTAGTGTTTTATAAGGGCCCTCAGTAAACAAGCTTACAGATTCAGTCTTTCTCTCAAAGTGGGGTACACACCAAGCTGCAGCATAAGGTCCTAATCCTACACCTCAACTGTGGGTGACCTTGGGTAAGTCATTTCCTTTCTCTAGGTCTCTATTTTTCTGTTTGTTTGTTTTCCTTTTTGGAGTCTCTATTTTTCTACCTGTCAAATAATACCTCTCTTGGGCCTCCCGGGTGGTGCAAGGGGTTAAGATGCAACATATGAAGCTACCCACAGCCACTGCAGCACGAGTTCAATCCCTGGCCAGGGAGTTACCCACAGGGTGCAGCAGACCTCTCCTGCTCTCCTGACTCACCCACTGCTCCCCTCAGCAGTGTATTTCAGTCAATTGCCTGTTCTGTTCCCCACTATCTCTGGTGAATCCTCTCACCCCCCACACCTCTGGCCTGTACCCCAGTTCTTGTAGGCATAAATAAATAAATCTTAAAAAAAAAAAAAAAAAACCTCTCTTGCAAGGCTTCTGGGAGACTGGATGACACCAATGTTCATCTTAGACCTAATGGAGGTGTTTAAAGTGCAGTTGCTGGGCCTCCCCTGGTGGCGCAGCAGTTGAGTGCTGGGCTGCAAAGCTGCCCGCAGCCTCTGCAGCGCTGGTTTGATCCCGGCCGCTGGGCGAGGGTCCTACATGGCGTGCAGACCTCTCCTACCGCCCGCTGCTCCCCTCAGCAGTGTACTTTGTCAGTCTGCCTGTTCTGCTCTCCTCTCTGGCTCTGGTGAATTCTCTCACCCTCCCACGCTTCTGACTGTACCCAGTGCTTGTATAAATAAATAAGTAAATCTTTAAAAAAATAAAATAAAAAATAAAGTGCAGTTGCCACCACTTCCTGGGTGCTGTGCCCTGGGCCCCAGGCCTGGTACAGAAGAGGCTTGTGGTAAAGGCTGGCAGAAGAGACGAGAGAATTCAACTCATAGGAGCTGACTTTGCCCCCAGCCTGCTGCTAGAAGGTGGTAGAATTGCCTGGTGGCAGCTGAACAAAAAAAAAAAAAAAAATGCCCAGGCCATCAAGTGGCTGACCCCTGCTATCCTGTAGGGTTACCCGCCACTGACAAAGATCCTGGCAAGTTTCTTTGGGAAGCTGCTAGGACAGGAGATAGACCCACTCACGAATGTGCTGGTGACTGTGGGTGCCTACGGAGCCCTGTTCACAACCTTCCAGGCCTTGGTGGATGAAGGAGATGAGGTGAGTGGGCAAAGTTTGGGCTGGATGGGGGGGATGGTCAGGGTGGTCCTGACCCTGGTCTCTGACCCTTGTACCAGGTCATCATTATTGAGCCCTTTTTCGACTGCTATGAACCTATGACCTTGATGGCAGGAGGTCGCCCCGTGTTTGTGTCCCTGAGGCCGGTGAGGATGCTGCTTGGGGCGTGAGTGGGCAGAGGGGGTCCCTGGGAGATGGGAAAGAAGGAAGGAAATGCAGGAGGCCAGTTTCTCCAGCGTGGGGGGCGCGATGTGGGGAGAGGATGGGGTTAGTTCTGGGGGGAAGAAGCCCCGGAGTTGTTTGGTGAATGTTGCTACCCGCTTCCACCCCCTCTTCCAGAGCCCCGCTGAGGAGGGGAAGCTGGAGAGCAGTAGCAACTGGCGACTGGACCCTACAGAGCTGGCCAGCAAGTTCTCTCCTCGCACCAAAGTCCTCATCCTCAACACCCCCAACAACCCCCTGGGAAAGGTAACTTTAGAGACCTCTATTCAGGGCCCCTCTAGGCTGGGTTCCAGCTCTGTCACTAGATGGCTGCTTTGGGGCCTCAGTTGCTCCATCCATGAAGTGGGAGGCACGGAGGCCCCAGGATAGGACAGACGTCCTTGGGGGGATATCAAGTCAGGGGTGATGGAGCAGGCTAGGCACCCCCATTCCCTCCCCATGACCCCGGGACAGTGACATCACGTCCCATTTGTCAAACGGGAGCCGGAGCCAGGTCACAGAGAACCCCATCTTCCTCCTGTTCCCCTTTGCTCTCACACACCCCCACGGTCATGCCACTCAGCTCCACGCAATCCTGGGACACCAGGCGGGTCGTACAACTGGAGTCACTTTAATTCTGTTCCGACGCTGTCTCCCTGGAGATGACGCAGGTGCGGAGGGTGCGGCAGGGGCGCCTGCCACTCCAGCGCCTCCCCCTGTGCCATGGCAGGCCCATGTGCTTCCGCCCCGCCAGCTGTCCAGTGGGGCCCCGTGCCCCCTCCTCCAGGTCACTTAGTTTGCTCATGGGACTCCGGGAAACACATTTGCAGTTGATTGAAAGATACAGATGAACAGCCAGGTGAAGACACACACGGGTGAGGTCGGCAGGGTCCGAGCACAGGAACCTCTGTCCCCATGGGGGCACCCACCCACCTGGAAGCTCCCAGCACCCCACACTATCGGGGTTTTTAATGGAAGTTTCCTTGTCAATTTTTAACTCCATTTCAGCCCCTCCTCTCTCTGGAGAAGTGGGGGGAGGGAAGCCGAAAACGCCAAACTTCTGATTACATTTGGTCTTTCTGGTGCTCAGTTCCCACCCCAGACCCCACCCATCGCCTGGTCAGAACTACAGACGCTCTAATGCGTAGCAATTCACAAGGGCCCGGGAGCCGGGTCAAGGACAGGGTCAAAGACAATATTAAAACGAGGGGTGCTCCCAGTGCCCTCATCACTTAGAAATTTCAAAGATTTCTGGAGCTCTGTGCCAGGAGTGGGGGCAGAGCCCGGTATACATATTCTCTATCATCTCACTACCAACGGGCCTTCGTAGGGTGGGACAGAAAAAGAGCCCCTGGCACAGGGCTGGGCCCGCGGCTCTGTCTCCTCTGAGCAGGCTCTGTTGGGGAGGGGCCCGCAGGTGTACTCCAGGGCAGAGCTGGAGCTGGTGGCCAGCCTGTGCCAGCAGCACGATGTGGTGTGTGTCAGCGACGAGGTCTATCAGTGGCTGGTGTTTGATGGGCACCAGCACGTCAGCATCGGTGAGCCCAGCGCCCCCCGGGGACCTTGCCCAGTCACTGTTGCAGGCCCTTGCGCCCAGCTGGAAGCCCTTGCAGGCCTAGTGATTAGCACTGGGAGGGAGGTTGGGGGATGGGAGGGGGCATCTGACCTCCCCCTGAGAACAGAAAGCAGGGGGATGATCACTTCTGCCGCAGAGTTGTCAGAGGGTGAGATGAAGTGAGTCCTACAGACAGTTTAGCTCAGGCCAGGGGTACAGAGCATGGGTGCTGGGGCCTGGCCACCCTGCCTCCCCTCACCCACAGCCCGTCTCGGCAGCTACTCTCTTTTCCCTTGGGCAGCCAGCCTCCCTGGCATGTGGGAACGTACCCTGACCATTGGCAGTGCTGGCAAGACCTTTAGCACCACGGGCTGGAAGGTGAGTCTACAAGGGTGGGGGCAACTCACCGCCCCGTCATACCTGGCAGGCCAGGTAGGCCTGGGAGTTGGGATGGGCTCTGGCCAGGCTCTGGCCTCACTCCTGACCTGTGCTCTTGGTCCAGGTGGGCTGGGTCCTGGGTCCAGATCGTCTCGTGAAGCACCTGCGCACCGTACACCAGAACACGGTCTATCACTGCCCCACGCAGGCCCAGGTGAGGAGGAGGGCGGGGGTACCACTTGGGGAGGGGAGCAACAGAAGAGCCTAGGCTGGCCACAGGTCGGGGCACCCCTCACTGGCTTCCATGTGCCCGCCCAGGCCGCGGTGGCCGAGAACTTCCAGCGGGAGCAGCAACACTTTGGCCAGCCCAGCAGCTACTTTGTGAAGTTCCCGCAGGCCATACAGCGCTGCCGCGACCACATGATACACAGCCTGCAGTCCGTGGGCCTGAGGCCCGTGGTCCCCGAGGGCAGCTACTTCCTGGTCACAGACATCTCAGACTTCAGTGAGTAGAACAGACCAGGCTGGGCAGAGCAGGCGGGCTGGAGGGGCCCAGCCTCAGCACGGCCTCTCTCCCGCAGAGAAGAGGATGCCCGACCTGCCTGGTGCTGGGGACGAGCCCTATGACAAATGCTTCGTCAAATGGATGATCAAGAACAAGGTGAGCTGGGCCTCTGCCAGGGCCCCTGTGTACGGTTTTGCAGGTTGTGCACTGCTCAAGGGCGCCCAAAATCCAGCCCAGCCTCTGCCATGAGCCCTGGCACAGGGCCATCTCCACTTCAAGGAGTAGGGAGCCAGTTTTTAACTGCACGGAGGTGCCGTGTGCGCTGACAGGAATTCCTGCCTGTCGGCCTCTGTCTTCCCAGCTATACAGTGAGGAGTGGGCCCTTCAACCCTGAGGCCCATCCAGCTCAGATCTATGATTCTAAAAAGTTTTTTCTCCTCTGGTCCTTCCCTGTCTTGCGCTTTTGGCCTCCAACTCCCCTCTCTACACAAGGGACTTGAAAGGATGCTCTGGGGTACTTTCCTGCAACCTTGTCTCAGCACTGGGAGGGGCTGCACTGAAGCTAACTCTCCTCCCTCACCCCCATCCTGGGGACCACTCTGTCCCCTGGAGCTGTGGGCCACCTTGAGACACAGACTTTCTCCTCCCAGGGCCTGGCAGCCATCCCAGTGTCCGTGTTCTTCAGTGCGCCACACCAGAAGAAGTTTGACCATTATATCCGCTTTTGTTTTGTGAAGGTAAATGGCAGGGGGAAGGAAGCACCCCCAAGCTTCCCAAGGCCTGCTGGGGGTGTGGGGAATGGGATCTGACAGGTCTGTGCTGGAGCAGGATGAAGCCACGCTCCAGGCCATGGACAAGAGGCTGCAGAAGTGGAAAGATGAGCTCAAGCCCTGAAGTTGCCTGGGGCCTGCCTGACCTGTCCTTGATGCTCCACTGGGCTCTATCTTGGTCCAGGTGTCAGCCCTTGCCAGGTTGGAGGTGGATGGAGGCAGATGGGAGGAGCCCTCCTCCCCGGTCTTGGGGAAGTCAGGCACCCCCTCCCATGGGCCTATATTTCTGTCTCCCTGACCTGTTTCCCCTGCCCTTCCGTGACTCAGGGTGTAGGGTCTCAAGACCTCATTGGCTTGAATCCCAGCCCTGGTCCTGAGCCTGCACTGGCCCCAGACTCAGGCAGCCCTCCATTTTCTTACCTGCCTTTGACTATGGAAAGTGGCCTTTAGGCTTGAGTCTTCAAGCCAACACTTTTGCCCATAATAAAATTTTAAGTTATTCACACGCTTGTTGGCTGCTTCTTTGTGCGTTATAAGCTCCAGTGTGATCTCTGATGAGGACTCGGGCAGAATGGAAGCTCAGTGAACCACAGATCCCTGCCTCCTCTTGGTACAAATGTTTTTTGGTGACATAGAAACAAGGCCCAAAGAAGTGGAAACACTTGCAACTTGTCTGGTCACACAATTCAGTAATAGCATAACCAGGGCCCCCATCCCAATAGCCTAGGGGTTAAGTGTTACCACCACGAAGTCCCACAATGGCCTGGGCCAGGGAGCACATAGCGCAGCAGACTCTGCTGTCCCCTGTTCTGCTCCCCATTCTGTCTCTGGTGAATCCTCTCACCCCCACAGCTCTCGCCTACACCCCAGTTCTTATATGCATAAAGAAATAAATCTTTAAAAAATTAAATAAGGGCCTCCCCAGTGGCGCAAGGGGTTAAGCACTGCACTATGAAGCAATCCGCAGCCTCTGCAGCACGAGTTCAATCCCCGGCCGGCCAGGAAGAAACCACAAGGCGCAGCAGACCTCTCCTGTCTCGCCCGCGGCTCCCCTCAGCAGTGTATTTCAGCAGATCTGCCTGTTCTGCTCCCCACTCTGTCTCTGGTGAATCCTCTCACCGCCCCCGCCCCCCCTCCGCCCCCCGCATCTCTGGTCTGTACCCCAGCTCAGGTATGCATAAATAAATAAATCTTTTTTAAAATTAAATAAAAAATAAAGTCTGCTAATTAAAGAGAGAGGGAGTAAATGAAGGCATCTATAAAGACCTGGGTGAAATGCTCTCCCAGGTCGGTGCCAGCTCTGAGTCCCACTCCAGCCCCGCACCTACCTGGCGGTCCCGCGGAGGCCGGGCGCTGCGCGGCTCTGGCGTCACCCCAGGGCCCCGGACGGCGATTGGCTGAGCCCTGGGCTCCAGCCCCGCCCACCAGCCCCGCCCACGGGCTTGGGCGACCGCCGGCTGCTCGGCCACGCCCCCGAGCGCCCTTGGCCCTCCGATTGGGCAACGCGGAGGGGGCTGGCCGGAAGGGGTGTGTCTGCAGGCGGGGCGGGGCCGGCGTGAGCGGCCAACATGGCGGAGCGCGCGGGGAAGCGGTCTTGCGGCCCGGTGGGTGCAGGGAGCTGGGCCCGGGCGGGGGCGGGGAGGGGCGCGAGAACCAGCCGCGCGGGACCCCGTGGCAGCCGGGCCGCGCTCCCGCCTCTCGCTGATCCGGCCCGGGAAGGCCCAGGCGCCCACACTCGTGGCCGCGTGCGTCCGTCCCCGAGATAGGTTCGGAGCTGGGCCCGGGCCGGGTCTGGGCACCCACTGCCGCCCCGCGGGTAGTCTGATTGCGGCGCGGACTCGGGGGGCCTCCTCGCAATCCCGAGCCCTTACGTGCCGCCTCTGTCGACTCCCGGGCCCTGGTGGGCAGGTGCGGTGTCCTCTTGAGCCCTGCGCGCGTGTTACTGGCCGGGATGTTCCCGGGCGCGGGGCTCCCGCAGGTCCTGGCCTCCTGGCGCACTCTCGGGGCGGCTGTAGGGGGATTCCCTCACTTCCTGCCTATCCCCATTACAAGGGCGGGCTCAGGTGAAGCAGCAGGGGGGACCCTTCAGGTGTGGCCACTCAGCCTCTCATTCCTGTTCTTTCCATCCTACCCCAGGGGGAACATGGCCAAAGGATCGAGTGGCGAAAGTGGAAGCAACAGAGTAAGGAGGAGGGTGGGCGGTGGAGGGGAGTGTCTGCGGGCATCCTTACCCCAGACCACTCTGGCAGTGCACAGTCGAACCTTGGGGAGAGCCACCAGCTTTGTCCCTGGTGGGTTCCACAGCACCCGAAGTGGAGAGGAAGGAGCCAGAAGCCCTGAGAGGAACCTGTCCTGGACTGTTCTTGGTCCCTCTCCCCTCCACCGACCCGGATGTCCTTTTATCCAGAGAAAGAGGAAAAAAAGAAATGGAAGGACCTCAAAATGATGAAAAAATTGGAGCGGCAGCGGGCACAGGAGGAACAGGCAAAGCGCCAGCAGGAGGAGGAGGCCACAGCGCAGAGCGAGGACCGGGGTAAGCAGGCTGGGTCCTGGCCAGGCAGAGAAGGTCCTATCCGGAAGGGTCCTTAGAGACCAGAGGATGGAGACAGTGTGTTCTGATGGGGACTCTGAGACCCAGAGAAGGGAGACACTCAGAAAACTGAGTCCTATCTCCTCAGGCGGGATCCACGCCCGTGGGGGTAAGCAGCGTCTCTGGTAACTTTATGCCTCTAGAGCCTCAGCACCATCACGATCGCTAGAGTTTTACTTTTTTTTTTTAATTGAAGTAACATGACATTATCACATTAAGTTTCAAGTGTGCACGATTGAAACTTTTTTTAGTTTACTGAGCATCTTCTGTGTGCTTTAATGTCACTTTCATTTAATTATTTTTATTCCACATTAAAAATGCTTTTTTTCCTCATTACAAATAATACATCCTCAATCAAATGAACAAAAACCAAATAATACATGCTCAAAACAATACAGAAAACTAAAGAAGACAACAGACACCACAGTGAAGGTTTGCCCAGACGTTATGTCCTGCCCACCTAGACATTTCAGGTGGATGTGCGGGTAAAATTTTATACAAGTCAGACTGTCTTACCCATGCACTTCCGGGCCTGGCTTTTCCTCCCACATTATGTCCTGGATGTCCAACATCAGTATATCCGGATCTATCCTGACACATGACATCTTTTCTCCTGGGCCAGACCATAGCCTCAGAGAGTCAGGAGTCACCCTATACGGCTGTGGTTACTGTGATGGTGATGGGCATGTCCTGTCTCAAATACCATGGCAGCCCTTTGTGGGTGATCTTACATGGCTTTCTTTGAATGACCCCCCCCACCCCCCCCAAGCAAGCATGTGGTGGTCCCTCTGGAGCTGACAGCCTGAGCCTACATCTCAGGTGTTGTCTTTCCTGTGAGCTGAGCCCTGTCTTTGGGCACTCTGGGCTAGAGTCCTCCTTGGTGGGGGTCCAGGCAGTACAGCTCCCTAGGGTTATGGGTGAATGTGCCCGTGTAGACGGCTCGTAGCTACTCACTCTCATCGTCACCCCATCTGACAGTGGAGACTGAGACAAGAAGGGGAGGAACCCCTGGCCACTCCTTGCCTTGCCCGTGGTCTGCCCTGCTCACGGGAGCCCGAGACCACTCAGTCCGTTTTCCTCTTGGGGAGATTGAAACCCCAAGACAGAGTTGGATCTATTTTGCTAGATCTCAGAACTCCTTGTTGGAAACTTCTCTAACTCTGGACCCTGGGGACAGAGAAAGGAGGGAGGGCATGGGCCTCGCTCTCCCACTGACCAGGTCTCTCCTGCCCAGGACGGCCCTACACCCTGAGTGTGGCCCTGCCGGGCTCCATCCTGGACAACGCCCAGTCGCCCGAGCTTCGCACCTACCTGGCGGGCCAGATAGCCAGAGCCTGCGCCATCTTCTGCGTGGACGAGATTGTGGTGTTCGATGAAGAGGGCCAAGATGCCAAGTAGGGACCATTGCACGGGGCACTGGTGCTCAGGGACAAGGGAGGGCTACCTGGACAGACTGCCTTCGCCTGCTCCTTGCCCCTTACCAGGGCTGAGCCCTGCCTGAAGTACCCCCATTTGTACCCACTGCTGGGTAGAGTTGCAAAGCAGCCCCTGCAGATTGGGTGAAGGATCTCTTGAAGGGACAAGCAGGCTCTGAGCCCTAACTTTCTCTCTAGGACTGTGGAAGGGGAATTCCGGGGAGTTGGCAAGAAGGGGCAGGCGTGCGTACAGCTGGCCCGGATCCTGCAGTACCTGGAGTGTCCGCAGTAAGAGGGGATGCAGGGCAGACTTCCTTGAGCATGAGGGAGGGGGTGGGGGGGGAAGGTAGGCCGGAGGCTGCCTCCCCAGACTCCTGAGACCTGCGTTCTTTCCTAGGTACCTGAGAAAGGCGTTCTTCCCCAAGCACCAGGATCTACAGTTTGCAGGTAAGAGTAGGGGGTGGGGACTGACCCAATTTTCCAGCAGGGCTGGACCTGTGGCACCTGGCAGACTCCTTGTGGCCCTCTCCTCGTAGGGCTCCTGAACCCCTTGGATAGCCCTCACCACATGCGCCAGGATGAGGAGTCCGAGTTCCGAGAGGGCATCGTGGTGGACCGGCCCACCCGGCCGGGCCACGGCTCCTTCGTCAACTGTGGAATGAAGAAGGTGGGCACGGGCGACTGGCCGGGTTGAACTTCCCGGAGCCTCGCTGGCCTGGCGGGCAGGCAGGCTGGAGGATATGGGTGGGGACCCCCAAACCCAGGTGTCTTTGTCCCTGGGCCAGAGATGAGCCTGGGGCAGGCCTCAGTAGATACAGCCAGGAGTGCATTTACTGTTGTTTAGAAAGCAAGTCAGGGGCCTGCCCGCAGCCTCTGCGGCGCCGGTTCGATCCCTGGCTGCTCCCCGGCCACTGGAGGAGGGTCCCACATGGCGTGCAGACCTCTCCTGCCGCCCGCTGCTCCCCTCAGCAGTGTACCTTGGTCCTCTGCCTGTTCTGCTCCCCGCTCTGGCTCTGGTGAATTCTCTCACCCTCGCGCGCTTCTGACTGTACCCAGTGTATGCATAAACAAACAAATAAATAAATAAATAAAGCATGCCTCTATAAAAAAAAAAAAAAAAAAAAAAGAAAGCAAGTCAGCAATAGATGGGCCCTTGTTTGGGTTGATGCCAAACAAACCTGAGCGGAGGCTGCTCGTCTGCAACTCCTCACTCAAGCCGGGCTCTAGGGTCAGAGGAAGAAACGTAGAAATGAGGGCTCTGCCCTCAGCTAGGCCAGAGGTAACTTTCAGAGCAGAGCGGATGCTGTGGGTGCGCCCTCCGGGGAAGAGTGCACTCTCCAGCACCAACACAAGCACTCACCTGTCATGCTCAGAAGTCGCTCAGGCCGGGCTGTGCTATGCAAGGACGACCACTATTATGGGAAGTTCCTATTACATGAGGAGGAAACTGAGGCTCAGAGGTGGAGTGACCCGCTCAAACCCCTCCAGCTAGTGAGTGTCAGAGTCTTCAGATGTAGACTCCTGGGGCTTCATCAACTCCCAGAATACTCCCTGCTCAGTGCCAGATGGCAAGTAGTGGTGGTAACTGCCTGGAGTGGGCAGAGCTGGACCTCGTGCCTCTAACCAAATCTGGGGCAGAGGCGACCCCTGCTGGTCGGGTGGGGAATAGCACCCGTTTCTTGCGGCTTCTCCCCAGGAGGTGAAGATAGACAAGAACTTGGAACCAGGGCTTCGGGTGACTGTGCGCCTGGACCAGAAGCTGCTCACAGGTCAGAAACGTCCCGGCCTGGCCACCCTGCGGCACCCTGCGGCTGTTTCTTCCCACCTTCTTGTCCCACTCACCCCATCTTCACAGTCTCTCTGCTTCCCCTCCAGAAAACAAGACCCGCCACGGGAAAGTCGTGTCATCCCAGGACCCTCGCACCAAGGCTGGTCTCTACTGGGGCTACACGGTCCGACTGGCCTCCTGCCTCAGTAAGGACAGAGGGTGCTCCTAGGAACACCCTCCAGCTCACGGTCTAGAAGGCTGCAGGGAGCATTGCTTTCCCCAAAAGTCAGAACAGGGTCCTCTCTTTGTCCGACCAACTTGCTGTGTGTCCTTGGGCAAGTGCCTTTCCTTCTCTGGGCCTTGGTCTCCCTGAACGCACTGCCTGGAATGCTGCTGACGTTTGAGGAGGAGGCGTTGTCATCTGTAGTCGGCTGTGGTGTTGGGAACAGGGGCCAGAGGACCCGAAAAATCAAGAGATTCTGGTAGTCCCGTTCTACCCAATCTCCATTTTGCTCCTTGACCCAGACTAGGTGGGGCTCCCTGGCCGGAAATTCCCCTCCTCCAACCTTGCACCCCATTGTAAACACACCACCCAGCTTCTGCAGTTGTCGGGAACAGGGCCCCTGTTGAGCTGGCCTCCCCCCAGGTGCTGTGTTCACCGAGGCCCCCTTCCAGGACGGGTATGACCTGACCATTGGGACGTCAGAGCACGGCTCCGATGTGGCTTCCGCCCAGATTCCCAGCTTCAGGTGGGTCCAGCCTGGCAGAGGCCGGGGAGGAGGAACGGCGCCAGGAACCAGACTGGTGGGGGCAAAACTGTACAGAATGGACCCCTTCTCTGTGTGAGGAGGTGGGCTGGGAGCCTGGGGCTGCTTGCTGAGCCGTCCCTGACCCCCTCCTTGGGTTGCCAGGCATGCTCTCGTGGTATTTGGGGGCCTCCAGGGTCTGGAAGCTGGAGTAGATGCTGATCCCAACCTGGAGGTGGCTGAACCCAGTGTCCTCTTCGACCTGTATGTCAACACCTGCCCCAACCAGGGCAGCCGCACCATCCGCACGGAGGTGAGTCCCCCACCAGGGTAACAGTGCTCTCTGGGGCTCACCCAAACCAGCCTTCTCTGGAGGTGGTTTCTTTGGTCCTGGGTAGCCTCAGGGCCTAGAGACCAACTTCTGAGGTTACCTTGGAATGCTGTGCCCGGGGCACTTTGCAAGGAGGCTCTGTTACTTTATCATTTTGGGGGGTGAGGAGGGTGTCCACAATTGTAAGACACCACCTGCCTGTCCCCAAGGGCTCTGCCTGGGTGCCAGCCCAGCAGGGACCCCCAACTCTGACCCTTCTGAGTCTGCACCAAGGGTTGAGAATTTCCTGCCCATGCCCTACCTGGGGCACAGCCCTTCCGGGCTGGCAGTGGCAGGGGTACAGGACAAGGCTGGGCCTGTCCTTGACCTCCTCACACCCTGCTGACCCCAAGGGGCTGGGTCGGCAGAAGACAGGCTGGGAGTCGGGACACTGGCCAGTCCCCCTGGCCCCAGCCCACTCCACGTTTGCCTTCTAGGAAGCCATCCTCATTTCCCTGGCTGCCCTGCAGCCTGGCCTCACCCAGGCCGGTACCCAGCCCAGCTGACGGTTCCCGTTGGACTGAAGATAGCAGAGCAGCAACAGGGAAGCCAGGGGTTCATCACCAGACGTGGCCAAGACTAACCTCCAAAAATAACCATCTTTAATGCTACCTGGCCCCACCACTCCCGAAGTCTGGCCGGGCTGCCACCCTTACTTGCTGCCCGCAGTGATGGCTTTGAGGCTGCCTGCCCGTGCCAGGATGTTTGGCACAAAAAGCAGCCCGGAGGCACGTTCAATGCTCTCAATGGGCACCAGGAAGCGCTCCAGTGGGATGGACTCGTCCACGGGTGCGTTGGGCATCACGTAGGAACGGAGCTCGATTTGTCCACCTGCCGCCTCCAGGATCAGCACCTTGAAGAAGTGCGTGGGCACCGCCACGTGGTTCTTGCCGATTACCTGGTACTTCACATAGGACTTCCCATCAGCCTCCGTCCTGTGGGCAGACACAGGCACTTAGGGTCAGGCCTCCCCAGGGGCCTGGTCAAGCCCAAGGCCACCGCCTTCAAGCAGCTTTCCCTGACCCGACCTCCAGCTGGGGTCAGCCTACAGCACTGCCCCATCAGCGTGAGCGTTCTGTGTCTTGCTTGGCCCGCCCAGGCAGCGTGGGCAGTGGCAATAAACATTGCTGAAACAACCAGGCATTTGAAATACTCGCTTTCATGCATGCAGTCACTTCACTATGGTCTGTCTCTCCCTATGGAGGGTGGGCATCACATGGGCAAGGCAGTGACAGCAAATGCCCGGCACTAGCAGAGGAGCCTGGTGCACAGCAGGGAACTGAAACCTGGGTGCCTGACTTCCAGGCTCCCCTCAGCAGTCTGCTCTACTGCAGCAGCCGCACAGGCACAGGCTGAGGAAGGCTGACTGGTGGCCCACAGTCCTGCAGTGACAAACACCATCCCACTTTGTCCTCAGCCACCTTCAGGCATTTCTCTTTCTGCACAAGGTTATTTGCCTGTGGCATTGAAGACAGCCAACCCTGGGTTCCTGCCCAGGCCTGTGGACTCCAGAATCCACAGCTTAGCTCCCACTTACAGCCTCACTCTTCTCAGTACTTAGGGGGCAAGTAAACCACTGGGCATGCCCAGAGTCCCCTTCTTCCTGGAGGCAGAGGGACAGGAGTGAAGCAGGTTCAGGACCAAGGAGACAGTTTAATTCTTGGCTTCAGGAGAAAAGTGGGGGTGCTCCAAGGAGGCAGGAGGCAAGAGAGCTGGGTGCAAGGGTGCCCATCTGGCAAAGCATGGTGTTGGGTGGAGGTGGCAGGAGGTGACTAGGAGAGCAAAGGTGGGTTCAGGGCCTGGTGCCCATGGACAGAGGAGACAGGGTCCAGGTAGGTACCCCAAAGGTGGTCTCTGGCCTTGGAGCTGGGGTTCCCATAGCAAGGAAAAGAAAGACTTGCTAAAAAACCAGGTAGGTGAACCCAGAGCTGGGCTGGCCTGGACAAAGGCCTCTGGTGAGTGGGAGGCCCTGGTGTCCCTAGGCCCCTGGTCCTAGCCTACCTGGGTAGGAAGAGTGGCCCTGTGCAGACGTAGACATTTTGGTAGCTGCGGGTCAAGCTGCGGCTGTACTTCTCCAGGTTGTTCCAGGCATTCTGGTTGAGGTGGGGTACCTGGAAGGAGGGTGGAGCTCAGACTCAGGGACCTTCCTTCTTGGTCTGGGGTACCAAGCCAAGACTTGGCGGTTGGGGGCAAGCAGGCAGAGGAAATGAAGTTCAGAGAAGGGGAGTCACTCCTGTGGGCCTTGTGACCATCGGGTTACAGCCCAGGTAGAGTTCAAGGGGGTGCTAGTTACCCCCAATCCAGAATGAGAGGATGGACAACCTGAGTCTCAGTCATTTCTCAGCTCTAATGAGCCAAGGAAGGGGCATACATCCCACTCCACACCCCCCCCTTTCAGAGAGAAACTGAGGCCCACCCCCACCCCAGAGGCTCACGGGATGGCCAGCTCGCCCATCCATCTCCTTTCCTTGTTTCTGTCTCACCCAGGCTCAGAGCTAGACTGGGAACACCACGCATCTGCTCCTGACTCACTGGGCAGTGTCTCGTCACGGGAGTGGGGCGGCCTGTGCCCCTGCAGGAGGCCTGGACCCCGTCCCGGTCTCTGCTGGGTGCCAGACCTTCTGGGAACAGGCCTGGAGCTAGGGCCGCGGGTCCTGGGGGCACGGCGCTGGCTGACAGCAGGCCCAGAGCTAGCCCCTCTACTGCGGGAGGGCAGGCGGGGCGGGGCCTCGCGGAAGGTGGCGGCTGCTCCAGACGGGCCGCCGGGTGTCCGCTCGGAGTGCGCTCAGCCTCCGTTCCCTCCCGGAGGACTGACGCTTGCAGAGTGCCAGGCAGTGGCTCGCGCCGCGGCGGGGGGTGACAGTGTTATCCCCATTTCACAGGCGCGCACGCTGCAGCTGGGGGGGGGCGCCCAGGGGCCCCAGGGCGGAGCGGGCGCGGGGCCCCCAGGGCTCCGGCCGGTCAGCACGCGCCTCGCCCAGGGGGCGCCCCGGCCGCGCCGCGGTCCTGCAGAGGCGCGAGGCCAGGCCCGGGGCGGGGGGCGCGGGCGCACCTGGGGCGCGACGTTGCTCAGGTAGAAGGTGTCGTCCATCGCCTTCTGGCTCCAGCGGTGGTTGGCGGCGGCGGCGAGGTGGCCGCGGTCGAAGCCGCTGCCGCGGTAGTCGGCGTTGGTGGCGCGGTGGTAGGCGTGCACCGAGTCGTCCTCGCGGAAGTCGCAGGCGCGCCGGTCGCCGTCGCCGCGCAGCCGCTCGGGCCGCAGCTGCTCGAGCACCCAGAGCGCGCCGCGGGTGCGCGGGTCGTAGCTCAGCACGTAGGCCTCGCGGCTCCTGAGCTGCGCCAGCCCGGGCAGCCCGTACTTGGCCAGCTCGCCGCCGCCGCCGCCCGCCGGGGGCCCGGCCAGCGCGGGCAGCTGGGCCGCCGCCGCCACGGGCAGCACCGGCAGCCGGCCCAGCAGGCCCGGCGGCGCCCGCGCGGCCGCCCGCCGCCCCCGCCAGCGCTCGGCGGCGGCGCCCAGCCCCGCGCCCAGGCCCAGGCCCAGGCCCAGGCCCAGCGCGGCCCGCGGCGCCCGCATGGCGGAGGAGCGCGGCGCGAGGTCGGCCCGGCGCGGGGGACGCCGCGACCTCGCGCGCCCGGCCCGCGACGCCCTTAAAGGCGCCGCGCCGGCCCGCGGGGCCCGCCGCGGGGGCAGGGGCCAGGCGGGCGCGCGGCCGGGCGCGAGGCCGGTCCCGTCCACTCGCGAGCGCCCCCAAGGGCCTCGAGCCCCAGCGACGGAGGCCAGGACCGCCTCGCGTGGCCACCCCGCGCCCTTTCTGTGCCCCTTTAAGGAGCCCCTTTAAGGGGGCGGGGCACCCCCGCTTTGGGTGATTGGCCGCCGCCCGGCCCCGCCCCGCCCCGCCCCGGCGGCCCCGCCCACGAGCCTCCTCTCGGCCGCGGCGGGTCCGCGGCGCCCGGCTCGCCGCTTCCTTCGACCCGAGGCGCCTCGAGGGAGGCCCGGCCGAGCCGGCGGCACGAGGGCTACACCCCAGGCTGGCACCCGAGTGGCTCGCGCCTCCGCACCCTCACGCGGGAGCATCGGCCAGAGTTTCTAAGAGCTCGGCAGAGTCTCTCGGGGCAAGGGGCGCCCGCAGGATCCCGAGAGCAGCTCGGCCGAGGGCGCGGCGCCCTTAGAAGGTTCCCGTGTCAGCCCTTTAGAGGCTGGAGTGGGGCCCCATCAGGCGTGCAAGGCTTCCGCCACTGCTTTCAAAATAGAAAAATGTGTTGATTCAGAGCACCCGGGCGGCCCGAGGCGCGGAGGAGGAGCCACCCCTGGACGCGCTTCCAGAAGCCCGGGGCGCTCAGACCTCCGGTTTGACAGTGACGTTTTCCAAACCTTTCGGTAATGCAGTCGCTCCTCGAGCAAGATACATCTGAAAGGAGACAGCAGAGTGATAAGGACTTGGAGGCGCTTTCCAATGTGGGGGGGCCTCTCCTGGCTCAAGCGCGCAGGGCCTGGGTCGCGGGACTCACACATGCCGCTGCGGTTTGACAGGCGGCCGCCCGCAGCCGTGGTGAGGTTTATTCTCGCTGTGATAGGGAGGGCTGGAAACCAGAACTGCAGTCTTTCCACTGGCATCTCCTAACAACTTTCATTCAGGTTGAAAAGGGTTTCCCTCCCTCTCCCCGCCCCCTTCCGGGGACCCTGGCAGCTCGATGGCCTGGGGACATGGGCCCGCTGGGGAAGCCGGGGCACCAGCCTGCACTTGGGGCTGTCCAGCTCTGGAGCAGATGCTTCTAATCACCTGCACCCTGGCTTTGGGAGCCCTCAAAGCAGCAGCCTTTTAGGCCCATGCTGTCACCCCCCCACTCCAGCCTCTACCCCAAATGAGGGTGTCCACTGTCAAAGGCCTGTCAGCCTACCTCACCCCACGGAGGCTGGTCCCAGAGTCTTATATAATAGAGGTTGGAATAGCAAATGTTCAGAAATGGGGGCTGATTTGGGCCATTTTTAGAATGTTAACATGTGACAGGTCACTGCCCGCAAAATCACTGCAACTGCCTTCCTACCATGGTAAGTAATGCAGTCACTCCTCCTCAAGCAGGATGACACAGTACCGTCCTAAGGATTTGGAGGTTCTTTCATATGTGAAAGGGCTGCCCCTGGCAAAGCAGCAAGAGTAAGGGGGGAGAGAGCACAAATCTCTATCAAGACAGTGATGGGGCCTCCCTGGTGGCCCAGCAGGTTGAGCGCAGCGCTGTGAAGCTGTTCCTAGCCTCTGCAGCGCAGGTTCGATCCTGGATAGCTGGGGGAGCTACCCACATGGCACAGCGGACCTCTCCTGTCTCGCCCACTGCTCCCCTCAGCAGTGTATTTTGGTTGGTCTGCCTGTTCTGTTCCCTGCTCTATCTCTGGTGAGTCCTCTCACCCCCCGCACCTCGGGCCTGTACCCCAGTTCCTGTATGCATAAATAAATCTTTAAAAAAGACAGTGATGATGGTAATACAAATTTTTAAGATCTGCTAAGCCTTAACATGTCAGTGATTTTTCTCCAGATCATGAGGCCCTGGTGACTCGTTTTTCAATTTTCAAAGTTTTTTCAAGCCAAGCAGTAACGCGCTGTGTAAGGTCATGTGTAATACCCCTCCCCCAGCTGCAATGAAAACAGCTGAATGAAGCTGAACAGCTGCTTCGACCCCAACCTCCAGGCCTTTCCCTTAGGCCAGCCCAGAGCCTCCTCGCTCCACCCTTGCTCAAACTTCTTTTCCTGCTCTGAGGCCTCAGACTTCAGGTCATTACAGCACCAATGCCCACTGCAAAGAACACATGATTTATTCAACACAATTTGTCAATAGCATTGATTGAAGGAACAAAACAGATGAACAAACAAAAGTGACTAACATTCCAACCCTCGGAGCAAGGCCTGCCGAGGAGTGCAGGGTCCAACCTGCATTTGTCTGAAGTCCGGGGGCAGCTTCCCTAGCAGGAAGCCTCAGATGCTCTGGCTCTCTAGGGACCTCGAGAGCCTGGGAGGAAACTGGCCAAGGGCAGGCCCCTTCCTCAGGTAATATCCCACTGGACATAGTCCTGACCTTCACTCCAAGGTCAAAGAGAGGACACTGGACTCGGGTCTGCCACAGAGGCAAATTAGACGCAGTGATTCAAGTAGCATGGCCCCAAAAAAGAAGGCAGGGGACAGGCAAGAGGGAATGCATCAGGTGTCTAGGCAGTGTCTGCTGGGTCCCAGGTGGTGGCCCAGGCTCACTGTGAAGGGGTCAATGCGGGACTGAACCAGCTGTCGGGTTCTGGAAAAGGGTGAGCCAGGCCGGTGGGAGTCAGGGTGTCTCAAGCCCAGGCAGGGGTGTCTGGCGAGGATCCCAGGGCTCACCTCCCAAACCCTGCGGTAGTGCTCAGTGCCCCGGCAGCGCGCACCTGCTGGAGAGCCAGGAAGTGGCAGGGGCCGTGGAGACCATGAACTCCAACTGTGGGAAGTCAGGAGGATCGTGTCTCCAGCTCCTTTCTACCTCCCAGCCCCAAACCAAGCACTTGCCAATCTGTAATAAATAACCAGAGCCCAAATAAATAATAAAAATCTCCCAAATCCTGTGTTGGGGAGAAGGGAGCAAAAAAGCAAGTGCATCAAGTCTAAGCGGCACCTCAGTGCAGCCTGGCGAAGGAGCGCCGCCTGGGAAAGCGGGCCTGGGCCCAGTCAGGCCTGCTGGGCAACAGGAACCCCATCTGCCAGACGCAGGGAGGTTTCGGGGCACAAGGACTCCTGGGGCATGGCTCCTAGGAAGAGGACCCGTTACATGTTACCCAGTCCTCCAGACCCAACTACCCGCTTCCTCCCAAGAGGGAGAGGATTTGGTCAGAACAAGCCCCCCAAACACACACGCACACACACACCTGGCTGCTCCTGCTCAGAGACCACCTGTCCCAATCCCGGGGACAGCCCAGCAGCACCCAGACAAGGGCCAGCACTTCCTTCAGCCAGCCTGAGGGGAAACCTGCTCTCCCAGCACTGACAGGATCCAGGCCCTCGAGCTCACTCAGCCCAGTCAGGTCCCTGTGGCCCCTAGCTGGGCCTCAGCACGGGAAGTAGGACTCTTCTGAAGCACTTGGACCCCAACCCCCGGACAGCACCGCCATCCTGTCCTTCGCCTTTGGGAGAGAAAGGCCCAGGGGGAACTGTGCGGAAGCCCCAGCTGCCCCCCTCCATCCCTGGGCAGCCAGAGGGGCGTGGTCTAACGTCAGGCAGGCCATCATTCTCCGGCAGCTTTTGGTTTCCACGATTTCTGTGGTGGAGAGCAGGTTCCGGGCCCCATAGTGAGGCACTGTGGACGCCCTCCCTGTCTAGTGACCTGGGAGTATGGGACTAGGGGATGCAACAGGGGACAAAGGCCAAGGTTGACCTCTAGGGGCTTTGCTGAGCCATTCTGTCCTTGGGGTTCATGGGAGTGGAGGAGGGGTGCAGAGGACAAGAGGCTGGGGATAAGGCACCCCAAGAAAAGACAGAGTAATGGAGAAGTAGACAGAATGAGTCACGCCCACCCTCGGAAAGCAGAGGGAGGCGAGAGGAAACAGGCAGGAGTGACAACGGAGAAGCAGAGCCCTGGAGGGACATGACACCCCCTCACGTACACACAGACGCAGACAGAGCAGACTCCTGGGGGATGAAGACACATGCCAGCCAACGAAAGGACAGACACGACACGCGCACTTCGAGGGACACAGTGAGACTGGGCCTGGCAGCCTATCAGCTCCTCGTGGTGTCACCTTCCCCATGGAGACGCCTAAGCACCAACCCCTGGAAGTGGTTTCTGGCTCATTTGCCAAGCACCTCCTCCAACCAGAGCCCAAAGACCAGAGCGGAAGGGGAGCAGGGAGCAGCAGGGCAGAAGCGAGGAGGGCCCCCTGCCAACCCCCAGGGCGCCCCATCTGGCCCCGTCCAGGAAACCACCTGGGCAGCTCTGGCCTTCCTCGGCAGCTCGGGCCATAGGTTCCAGGGCTGAAGAACAGGGAGGCGTCAGGGCTCGGGTGAGGAAGGAGCATGGCACAGTGTGCTCCCGCGGGAGCGGCCAAGGGCGAGGGGACCTGGGTGAGAGGCCTGGAGCTGGCCATCCAGCAGCTTCTCCTTGGCTGGGAGCCCACAGCTTTCTGTGCCTCCCAGAGCTGGGCACTGGCGTTGGTGGCTTCTCTCCCAAACCTGGGCCTCTCACTGCCAGGCTACATTGAGTCTTGGAGTTCCTTGGCTTTCTGTAGGATCTGGCAGACATCTGTGATGGGGTAATCCTGGGCACCAGAAAGGCCAACAACACAAGTCTGAAGTCAGCTCATCTTCACCACCATTGCCAACCAAGCCCTCCCCCCAGGACCTGGCACCACGCTGGACCCTGGGCCTCAGGGGCGGGGACCACACGTAGCTAACTCTATACCAACTGTAGCACTAACTTAACCCACCCAGAGAGTTTCAGCCCCACAGTCTCATCTTTCCCCACCACCTGCCAGAGAACACTGCGCTCCATTCGTAACCAGCCTGGTTCTGGGCTGGATGCAGACCATGCATTCACTCAGTCACCTCAAAAGCCCAGTAAGGGGGTGACTGCTCAGGCCCATTTTATAGACCTAATCAATGAACTTATTGGAAACCAACCCCAGGCCAGGCTGGTAAAGAAACTAAGGCTTAAGAGGCGGTCACTTGGGGGCCTCCCTGGTGGCGCAAGGGGTTAAGCACCACACTACGAAGCAATCCACAGCCTCTGCAGCATGAGTTCAATCCCCAGCCAGCCAGGGAGCAACCCACACGGAGCAGCAGACCTCTCCTGACTCGCTACTCCCCTCAGCAGTGTACTTCTTCTTTTTTTTTTTTAAAGGATTGTTTTTTTTTTTTTTTTTTTGTAGAGGCATGTTTTTATTTATTTGTTTGTTTGTTTGTTTATACATGCACTGGGTACAGTCAGAAGCGCGGGAGGGTGACAGAATTCACCAGAGCCAGAGTGGGGAGCAGCAGAGCCAGAGCGGGGAGCAGAACAGGCAGAGTGACAAAGTACACTGCTGAGGGGAGCAGCGGGCGGCAGGAGAGGCCTGCGCGCCATGTGGGACCCTCCTCCGGTGGCCGGGGAGCAGCCTGGGATCGAATCGCAGCTCAACCGCTGCGCCACCGGGGAGGCCCTCAGCAGTGTACTTCGGTCAATCTGCCTGTTCTGTTCCCCACTCTGCCTCTGGTGAATCCTCTCACCCTCCACAGCTACGGCCTGTACCCCAGCTCTTGCACACATAAATAAAAATAAATCCTTAAAAAAAAAAAAAAGAGGCAGTCACTGGTTCAAGTTACGTGATCCCCTCCCACAGGCTCTCGATCCTTGAGCCTACGTTCATGACACCCCGTGCTTCCCGTCACCAGGGACAAGTGTTACTCCATTCCGGGTGGCGCTGTGTCCGGGTCTGATTCACTTAGCAGAACACTTGGTTCAGAGAAATCAGGTCATTCATTCACTCAACCCCACCCCGCCCCTGGAAGGTCAGTGGCAGATCAAAGCCAGATCCGCCTCAGGAGTCTGGACTCTGCTCTAGCTGCCCCTGCATGTCACAGTGGCTGGCAAGGGTGGGTGCCTGCTAGGTGCCTGCCCCCCTCACCCCCACAGACTCCATTACCTGCAGGAGCCGCATGTTTACGGTAAAGTCACCTTCCAGCAGCTGCTCCCGGATCAGTCTATGAGAAACAAGCGGCAGGAGCGTTGGGACCCCGGGTGGCTGAATGCCTGTCCCCCGGGGTCCCAGCCTGCTCCTCCTTCATCACCATGCCGCCAGCGTGCCCCCAGCCTGAGATTCCAGGGGCTCATGCCAGGCCCCAAGGACAGCCGCCCGCCCTCTGTGGCAGCCCCACTCACACGAGCATGGCGCAGCAGACAAGGAGAAGGAAGTCAAAGCGGCTGTCGTCAGCAAAGAGGGAGTCCCAGATGCGGATGACATCGGGCAGCAGGAACTCCTGCGACAGCAGCAGCGTCAGCCAGCGGAAGGCGAAGAACTGGGGCTTGATGTTCTGCTCTTGCTGGGGAGGCAGAGGGGTGGCATGGGGTGGGGGGCAAGAATGCCACCAGACTATTAGACTGAATTCAGACCAGCAGCAGGGCCTGGGACCTATGCTGGGGACCGCTGAGGGGTGGCTCCGGGCCGCCTGAGAGCCTTGCTGGGTTCAAAGGCAGCTGTGCTCGCTGCCAGCCCACGGTCAGGTATTCCAACACTTCGGGAAAGACCAGAAACCCAGACTTTTTTATAAGCCCTCCAGATTTATAAATGATAGTTTAAATTCTTCCAAAATGCTATGACCTCGATGGCCAGACCAGAGCCCATTGCCCAGGCCCTTACAACAAGCCTGGCCTTCCACTCCCTCTAAGACGTCACCTCACAAACGCGCTCGGCACCACTCTACAAGGCAAGCGTGCCCCGCAGCTGGCCCCCGAAGGTCAACAGCAGTGCACGTTGGTAACACAAGTCCAGATTTGTTTAAAAAGAAAGCTTATCCTTACTTCCCAGGTCACAGCGCTTTTGTTTATATGCACGTTTCCTTTCCAATGCGGTTTCCTGAAATAAGCTATTATGCGCTCCAATGATTTTCAAATGATTTTTAGTGTGTAAAAGTGAAGTCCATGGTTTTCACAGAGGACTGTCACAGCTGCCCTGATGCAGCCTGAGTGCACAGCCTCACGGGAAGGCACCCGGCACACCCCCTCCCAGCCCGCCGCCTGTGTCCCTGGTGCCGCCTCTGGATGCGGCCAGCACTGGCCAGCGCGGCAGCTACTCTACAGCTCCAGACTCCAGCCAGACCTCGGCCTGGGCCTGGGCTGTCCGGGAGCCTCGGCCCGCTGCCCCTGTCCGTCTGTGCGCCCACCCATGCGCTCCTGGGTCCTCACCAGCTTCAGATAGAGTTCTACATCCTTATCCTTCAAGGTGGAATACACCTTTTCCATCTTGTAGGTGATGCCACACTGCGAGTCGTCCAGGCTCTTGATGAAGTTGTCCCGGATCTCAGCCATGAGGTTGGTGAAGCAGAAAAAGGTGTCGGCCTCTGCATGCTCTGGAGGAGACGGGAGGGTGAGTGCCGCCTCGGGGAATGCTGCCTTGCTGGCAGCCTGTCCCTGCCTCCTCCGGACCTGCCCCCACCAAGTCACCCCACCCTCCCCGTCAGGCTGTCCTTCCGCTGCCCCTGACCATGCTACACCCCCACTAAGCACATCACAAATTTCTTCTCAGGTCTTCTGCCAACACTGTATGCTCACTCTCCTGAGGACACTGCCCACTGTTATCTGAGCCTGTCCCTCAGCTGCTTGTAAGTACACCTCATCTCCTCGGCCAGAAATTAAGTTACAAATCTCAAGAGATCAGCAAACACCCAACACTGTACAGCATCTGAGAGCCGATCCAGGCTCCCCTCATCTGGCAGAGGAGAAAGCAGTAAGGCACAATTGACTGCACCCTCGAGCATGGCTCTGCTCAGGGCGTGGGCAGCCGAGGGACCCTTTACCTTTCCACTCGCTGTTGGGGTCAGTGGCAAAGGTATAGTAGAGGGGCCCCACGATCTCGTTCATGCCCTGCACGTAGGCGATGCCAGGATTGAGCTTGGCATAGATGAAGAGGATCCGCTCCACCACCTCCCAGTGGGCCTCACAGCCGTTGGGCAGCACCTCGTACTCGTTCAGCGATGAAGGTGCGGAGGTCTTGTGTGGGGAGCTCATCTGGGGGAGAAGGCGGGTGAATCATGAACAATGTGTCCTCACCCTAAATGTTTACCATTAAGCTTAGACTTGAACTCCACTCACAGGGAGAGTCCTCGGGGGCTGGGCCCTCCACCAGCAGCAGGAAACAGACAAATCCAACATGCAGGATGCTGCCCAAGACAGCTGGCTCAAGTCCAGCTTAGGATGGTAAGTGCCAGGAGAGGGCTTACCACTGCAGTGAGGGGACTGCCTGAGGAGGGACATGAAGGAACTTTCTGGATAATGGCCATATTTCCTGTCTTGATCTGGTTGGCAGTTACGATACATCCGAAAACATTCATCTGGTTTTACATTAACATCTACGTGTTTTACTACATGTAGGTTAAACTTTAATTTTAAAAAGGCTTCAGGGGCCTCCCTCATGGCCCTAGGGGTTAAGTCTCAGCACTACCACCGTGAAGGTCCCCCTCGACAACCTGAGTTCGATCCCTGGCCAGGGAGCTACCCATATGGCGCAGCAGACCTCTCCTGTCTCACCTGCTGCTCCCCTCAGCAGTGTACTTTAGTCCATCTGCCTGTTCTGTTCCCTACTCTGTCTCTGGTGAGTCCTCTCACCCCCCGCACCTCTGGCCTACACCCCAGTTCTTGTATGCATAAACAAATATAATAAATCTTTTAAAAAACAATCAAATGTTTTAGGGGGAAAAGCAGCAGAGGCCCACTCCAGATCAGGAGACTAAGAATCACAACACGCCAAGGCCAGGTGTACAACCAGATTGGGTCCTGATTTGGAAGGACAACAATGACACTGTCCCCGACTCAGTGGAGGACAGCCCCGATGGGAATGTGGTGCTGCCAGGAAGTGCTGTTCACCTGGCAGATGTGCGAGCGTTGCTGACGAGGGTGCAGTTCTCCTTGAGAGACACCTAAGTACTCGGGGCGAGGGTTGGAGTATTGACAACTTTCTCCCTACGCCTATCCTCTCCCTCCCTCCCTCCCTCTCCCTCTCTCTCTCTCTCTCACACACACACACACACACACACACACACACACACACAGAGCAAGTGTCAACAACTGCTGAGTTCAAGGGGAGCACAAAGGTGTACGCTGAATTCTAATTTCCTGTCTCAAAATTTTCATAAAGTAGGAGACGAACAGAGTTGACACCTGCTAAAGCCTCATGCAACAGAGCAGGGGCCCAGCACGCTGGTCAGGATGCTCAGGAGATGTGACCCGATGCCTGGGGTAACCTGCAGGAGAGCACCCCAGGCAGACACAGACAGCGACGGTGCACGAAGGCGTCCTGGAAGCATGGGCCTGGGCATGGTGGATCCTTCCCTGTGACACTCCAAGCGTGCACACGCAGGCACGGGTGACACACACAGTGCTAACATGTCCCAAGAGCTGTCCACATGAGAGATGGTGCTCACCAAACATTCCTCCATCTCATCCTCTCAGCTACCGAGAATGTTCTCTACGTGTCATTTTCTTTTTTTTTTTTTTTTTTTTTTTTTTATAGAGGCATGTTTTGTTTGTTTGTTTGTTTGTTTTTTGTTTATACGTGCACTGGGTACAGTCAGAAGCGCGGGAGGGTGAGAGAATTCACCAGAGCCAGAGCGGGGAGCAGAGCAGGCAGAAGGACCGAAGTCCACTGCTGAGGGGAGCAGCGGGCGGCAGGAGAGGTCTGCGCGCCATGTGGGACCCTCCTCCGGTGGCCGGGGAGCAGCCAAGGATCGAACCGGCGCCGCAGAGGGTGCGGGCAGCCTCGTAACCCAGTGCTCAACCGCTGCGCCACCGGGGAGGCCCTCTACGTATCATTTTCAAGATGGGGCAACTGAGGCCACATCTTCACACGTCTGACATCCAGCTTTGGCCCTGGGACGGGAGCTGGCTGACTCCAGCATCTGCGGGCCAGGCCTCAGAGAGCCCAGTGCCTCTAGCTTCCCCAAATTTGCACAACCACGGCCTCATTTCACACTCCTGGTGATTCAAAAGCCAGGCAGGGCGGAAATAACTGTGCCCCATTTATGGCAGGCAAGAAGGTGCCCCTGGTAGAACCTGCCCAGAATCAAACACACAGTCTATTTTAACTCACACTGCCCAAACTGGAGTCCAGGGGGCCAGACAAGAATCCCTGGCCAGGTTCTCTGTACAGTGCAAAGCTAAAGTGGTAATAGCTGGGCGCTCAGGCCCCAATTCCAGAGAAATGAATGACAGAAGCCAGGACACCAGCGTCCAGGGCACCCACACAGAGGGCCAGCGGTCACTTCGCCAAGGGTGCCCTTGCAGGCCCCAGAGCCCTGTGGTGACAAAGGGCTGCTCTCCCAGAGATGGGGGGCCTGGGCCCAGTCAATCCACATGGGGAAGCTGCCGCTGTACAGCCTTTAGCATGTCAGAGGCTGCAGACAAGGGTTGCCTGTTGTTGAACAATGACAAGTTTTCAGAACATGAGTCCTGCTACCAAAGGAGAAAAACAGTTCATTTGTTTTAACTATAAGCAGCTTCTCGGAGTTACCAGAATCTGCTGGACACCGTGCATGACTCGGTCAGCGCCAGTCCTATGGCTGCCGCCTTTTAATTCTCAGGTCCATGCCTGCTCTAGCACAGCCCCAGCCACCCAGGCTTGCCTGCCAGGCAGCCTCTCCACCTCCTTCCCGCCCCCTCCAATCAATAACCCCCCTAGCATGCACAAACTCTTGTAAGAATAGACCTGAGGACCTGAGCCACCTCACATCACTGCCCTCGGGACACAGGCCTCGAGGGGAGGTCTCCAGCCTCCTCTGGCCACCCTCTCCTCCACCCGGCTTCCCTCCCCCAGTCACGCTGGGCCCTGCTATTCCTTGACCACATGTCACTCAAAACTGCTGGAGGATGTACACATATGCCCACCCAGAACCTGCAAAGTTCTTCCTCTTCATCCTGCAAGCCTCAGCTTCCATGTCACCTCCTCAGGAAGTTCTCCCTGAACCCCAGACAAACTCGGCAATCCCCCAAACCTTGTTCCCATCACACTTGCGGAGCACAAGCATCACAGCCTGTCCCCACCCAGCAGGGCCTCCCCCGCGCCCGTGTCACCCTAAGAGCGGCTTTCAGAAAGAGCCTGGCTGGACCCGGCCTGCCTGGACAAGCAGTAGGGCAGGTGGTCATGGGCCCAACGAACATGTGGTCCAGGGGAAGCAAGAAGGAAAAGGCTGTCACAGGGAGTCCCTGGGGCCCCCACAATGCCTCTCACATTTGTGACCCCGCTGCGGTTCCGGGCCACTGTCTGGGATTTCAGCGTCGTTTGTTCCACGCGCTTACGAAGGGTCTCAAACTCATTCTGGGGGTCCAGGATGAGGAGGCACGGGTACTCGGTGGCCCTCTGGAAGAAGGATATATCTGGGCACAACCTCCTGTCAAGAGGGAACAGGAGACAGCACTGTGACTCAGGTGGGGGTGCTGGCATTCCGTGCGCACTGCAGCTGGGCACACCAGCGTCCCAAAGGATTGTGTGCATTTTAATAACGCTTTATTTAGAAAAACAAGTTTTAAAAAGCAGTATCGTCCTTGTACGAACACACACACCCATGTTCTTACACACGCTTACAGACACACACACATCTTTTCAGTGTTCTCATGGTCTTAAAGTCCGGCTCTTCAACTACAAGTAACTTCCTTTGTCAAAAATGTTCACCTAGGACGGACGGGGCGTGGACTGGGGTGAGCTTTGTAACAGGAGGGGAGGTCTGGGCAAGTTACACCCTGTAGGACGTTCTACAGCTGGCGTGGGAAGATGTCCAAGACAGAGAGAGCAAAAGGCACGCCGGGCGACAGCGCCAGAGCACGCAGCTGGCAGGGCGTGCAAGCTGGCCTCTGAGCCCCAAAGCAGACGCACTGAGGGACGTGCCCCGACCGCCAATGTGAGACGGAAACTGCCTCCCCAGAACCAGGTTGGACACGTGGCTCTGGACATAAGTGGGGCCAGAAAGCACCTCGGGGACATGTGGTCCCTTTGCTGCCTGGCCGCGCGGCCCAGCCGGGTATCCGCCTGGGGCCACAGGAAGATGGGCCGGGCAGAGGCGCAGCGCGGGCTGGTGGGGCGGGAATCTTGCATGGGCATGGGGGCTCCAGCCTTGCGCTTGGGCCACTCGTCCCCCAGCACACAAGGACCCCTCCAGCGCCTCACTCAGCCGCTGCAGACAGCAGAGCCAGTGCCCCCGCGTTTCTTGACCAGGGGAAAAGCTGGCACATGCATGCGTGGTAATTAATCTTTTTTGAAAAATACACCTCTGACTCTGTCCCGCCCGACCCACAGCCTTGGGATCAAGTCCCAGGTCTGACCCCCGCCTCCCTGAGTGGCAAGCTACTTCTGGGACAGCCATGTTGGCGGGCCCTCAGGGCCTGCCCGCAGCAGCTACACGCCCACAGCGGCCTTGCGTCCCTCACCCTCAGACCCTGCTTCCTCAGCTCTCAGCTGAAACCACCTCCACAAGCTCTTCCTAGAGAGCATGTACCACAAATGTGAATTCACTGAAGATCTTTCTTCCCAGCTTCCCCCTCGGGTTCTTGCTCGGTGAGGAGAGAGGCCACGCCTGTCTACTCCATACTTGACCCTGCGCGTGGCAGCGAGCTGCAGTTTGGAAGGACTGATCAGCTGAATCCATAAATGCCCGGGCATGACTGAAGCCAAGCGGGGGAGAAAGGAGAGCGGCGTGTGGGCGCAGGGTCCCACCCCCACTGTGCTCACCGCCCCAGGCCCAGGCAACCAAGCGCCTGGGCCACCCTCTAGGACAGCTCACTAATGGTTCCTCAAACAGCCCTCAGTGGGCTGGGCTGGAAAGGGCAATGACAGAACTGGAAACCCCGGGGTGTCTCAAGGCCGGCTCCCCCTGGGGCCCTGCTTACCGGACATCTTTGTCTATCTGCAGCAGCACCTCGTTGTCCTTAAAGTATGTGTTCCACCGGCTGTCAGGGTTGGGGTTGAGAGGCTGAGGGAGAGAAGCAGCCCCTCAGCCCGAGGCCCAGCTCAGGCCCTACGGGCACACCCCAGTCCAGAAGCCCAAGAGTGGCCTGGCACCAACAATCCCATCAGGGGCCTGGCTGTGGTTCCGAGATAGCCCCCCAGCTCGAGGGGCAGCACGTCCACTGCCCCACCACTGCCAACATCACATCCAAACTGAGCAGCTGGCAGCCTGGTCCCGTGCTCTGCTCTGAGCCCTGCCCCACCTGCAGGGACTCGGTCCTTTGGGCCCACTGCTTGGACCACCGCTCGCGGAATGCACAGTAATGAATGAATGCTCACTAGTGCTTTGAGTTGCCAATTCCAGGCCTTAGAGAACGGGATGCATCCACCCACTACTACTTCCTGCAGAGAAGCTCTGAGGGAGGAGCACAGGACTGGAGGAGAGAACGAGGCCTCCTCCAGGTCACAGAAAAGCAGCTCATCCTCACTCCCACCAGCTCTGCTTTTCCTCAACTATAAAATCATGGGCCCTTCCTCCAGGAACAGGGACGAGTAGGAAAGGAGTCTGTGCACTCTGAGGCCTCTGGGCAGCCCAGCTATTGCTAACCTTCAGACTGGGCCTGGAACGGGGTCTGGAGAGAAATTATGGCCTTCAGGCTGAGCAGCCAAACGAGAGAGGAGGTACTAAGGGGGCCAGAGGGAACCAAGTCAGCTGCACTTTTTCTCTGGGGTGGGGGGACATGCTCCAAAGCCCAGCATCTCCCCACTCTGCAGCCTCAGTCCCTGCTGCTGACCCCTACTCACGTGGTCCTCAAAGGTCACATCCTCCCTGGACACACCCATGTTGGCCTTGGCAATGCCAGGCTGGATGATCATCTCCCTCAGGAACTGAGAATACAGCTCCCTGCAGATGAAGAGAGAGGAATGAAGCCCAAGCCTGCCCAGGAGCCCAGGCCGGGGCAGCTGGAACAGGCAGGGCAGGTTTGGCCTCTTTCTGTCTCTATGAGGACCCCTGCCTCCCCCGTCTCAGGCTCACCTCTGCTTGGCCAGGATGGAGGTCCATGAGGCTCTCTCCAAGGGGAGGTAGTTCAACAGAATCTGCACAAGAGGAGAGGAGCAGAGCTCTGGCAACGCCCCAGCCCAACCCTGTGCAGTATAGGTGGAGGCTCACAGGCCTTAAGAGAAATGTCTGAAGCAGCCCAGAGAAGACCAGCTGGGCTGGAACCCTGGAAGGCAGGTGCGAACTAGGGGCAGCCTGCCCGTTCCCCCTCCCACCCCCGCTGCCTCCCTCCTTTCAACCTAAACCAGCCCTTTCCTCTCCTTTTTTCTCACACAGACTCTTGCAAATGACGAAATCTGGCCTGGAAACCAGGACCCTGGGCTTCTGCTCCCACCTGGGCTAATAGCTGTGGGCAAAGTAAGGCGTCACTCCCACGGACTGCACAGCCCGGGAAGCAGAGGGATTCGCCGGCATTACAAATGTTCTATCTCCCAGGGGGCATTTGGGGGAAGGGGGGGTTTATATCAAAAGGAACAAAACCCAGAACTTCCCAGAAGAGCTTCCTTAGACAAGCGAAGAAAGGTGCAAAAGAGTAAGAAGGTGCTGGGGGGACAGAGGTGGGGGCTGGAGGGACGACCCCATGCAGGAACCCAGGGACTCTCAGCAGAGCAGCAGCCCCACCCCAGGCACACCCACCTTCCAGCAGAGGCACCGCAGTCCGCCCTCACAGGGGATGCCTGTGGACACAGCAGGCAAAGGTCACGCCCCAGGCCACAGCCCCAGAACCCCCAGCCCTCCACCTTGAGGCCAGCTGGCAGGGAGCAGAGTGGGCAAGAAGGACTTCTTCAAGAATACTTCTCCACCAGAAAGATGACCAGTCAGATGCTGATGCCAATACTATGTGCAATTTCGCTCCTTGACTAGCCCCACGCAGAGCGCCCTCCGTTTGGAATTTCCTTTGGAGGTTCACACCTTCTTTCTGATCCTGTGTGTTTCTTCCTCAGAGCCACTTTTCCTAACCGCCCCCACCCCCAGCCTCCTACCACTCAGAAGGGTCCCCATTATAAACAAGAATGGCTCATGACTTCTCCTTGGCAGCATCCACCTCAACTGGAACTGTCATCTGTGCATCTCTCAAACACCTGTGACCACTACTCCTGGGCAGACCCTAGAAGGACAAGACTCATCTTTGCCTCCTTTTCCCAGCACCCCACACAGGCAGGCCAGAAGGTATTCCCCTTCGTTTGTGGACTATAATCTAAACTGTAAATGCTAGTGTTTTATAGACACAACTGCACTCAGTCCTCATTACAACTCTAGGAAGCAGGGAGCTTAGCATCAATGTCCTCATCTTATAGACTAAAGACATTTATCTGCAAATACAGAGCAATCAAGGGCTACAGGTCACGAAGGTCTGATTTTAGAGCCCAAAGAATGCCCATCTAGAGGGTGGGCACAGACCCCAGGACTCCTCAGTATCTTCAGGGCCTAAATATTAGAAAAACAAACCTCTGCAACACTACTGGGAACCTGGCTAAAGTAGCCATTGCTACAGTCCCTAAGACTGTGAACAGGAGCTGATGCCCCCACCTTGCACTTGCATGAGAATGAACAAGCTCACTCTAGAATTCCTTGCCCACAAAGTTACAAAGCAGTGATAAGAAGCTATACAGAACACCTTGGCGTGTTTTTTAAAACAAGCTAAGAGCAGGTTATCTCTGCATTGGAAAGTGAACCATGCCAGGGAGAGCAAAGTCAAACATTGCTAAGGTTCAGTTCCTTTAAGTCACCATCTCAAGGCTAGAATTTTACCAGTAGCCAAAGTTCATTATTGCCCGTGTTGGCTTTGATCCCAAGCCATGGAGAGAACCAGGAAACACGCTGCAGTTAACCAAATTTTATATCACAGGAAGTTCACTGAGGGATGAGGAAAGACCCGAACTCATCCCAGAGAGTGTGCTTCCCACTGTCATCCTCCCACCTCTCTCCTCTCCAGTTACTCTCAGAAGCAGTAAGCACCCTGCCCGAGCCCGGTGACTCGCTAACTGTGCCTGCCAATACTCCAGGATCCCCTCCAAGCTCAGGGCAGTTGCAGAATCTAGAGAAGACCCTCCCTGGAGTCAGGCTGAGCCTCAGAACTGAGCAGGTGTACTCTCAGCACCTTCCCCCATCCTAGTCACCACATTGCTGTAGGAAATTCCTGAAAATGGAGAGATGCCTCTTACCACTAAAACTGAGTTCCCGAAGCTTTTCCAAGGCAATCATGGGCTCTTTCAGGACATCCTGGAAATCTGCAATCCTAGAAGGAGGTTGAGGGAGGCAAATGAAGCACACCCAATCCCAAGAGGACAGGCTTAGTCACCGCTCCTAAAGCCCACAGCTCCCTTACACCACCAGTCTCCAGCTTATTCCTCCCTCCCCTTCAGGACATAAACAATGCCCAGTCCTGGCCAAAGGCAGCTTTGGGGAACTCTAGAGCTACAGCTTTCATTTTCCTCTAAGTCTAGAAACATAGAGATGTTCTTGTCTAGAGATTCTCAAATGGAGAAACACAAAATCAGACTCATTCTAATATGTAATGGTCAGACATTTATTGGCCACTTCCTGCAGGTCAGGCCCAGCCCACAGAGGCACTATGTGAAGTCAAGAACCCTTGGAACTAGGAGTAATCTGATCCGTCGGCAAAGGACCTGAGTAATCTGCCCGCTGCTCTCCAGGCTCAAAAATATAACCATTAGAAGACATGTGGGCCTGCCTGAAGGCAAGGACAAAAGGTCCTAAAAATGAAGCCCTGGAAGAAAAGTGAAGAGTGAGCAAAATTTAGCCAGCGCTCCACGATATGGCCTGGGGGGACGGGGAGAGGGACAGACTGGAAAATCCAGGTTCTTTGGCATTTCTAGAAGGAAAAAAAAAAAAGAGCAAGGGGCCTTGTGACATTTGGAAAGAGACTATTGGGGCAGAGGAGCAAAAGGGGAGAAAAGGGCGGAGGGGGGCGGGGGGGACCGGGCATCCAGGCCCTGGAGGAGGAAGAAACCAGGGAAAGGGGGAACTTGAGGCTCCAGCGGGAGAGGGCGCCCCCCGGGGAGCCGGAGAAGCGTCTCCGCGTCTTCACCCCTCGGGCCCAGCAGCCCAGGCGCTGGACAGTGGGCGTCGGAAACCCTCTGCCGGGGGGTCCTAGCTCCTAGCCGCGCCCGCTCCCCCCTCCGCAGGGCAGAGAGGGGCTCCTGGCCAGGAGTGATCCGGCTGAGTGGGCCCCGCGACCCCTTACCGGCTCTTGTGCAGACTCGACATGGTGTTGACTTCCGGATCCCCCCGCCGCTCCTCCGCCGCCGCCGCCGCCGCCGCCGCCGCCCCCCAGGGACGCGGGGCGCTCGGCAAAGGCCTCCGGCCGGAAACGCAGCCGCCGGCAGCACGTTCCGGTCGGCCCCGCCCACACCGCTAGGCCCCGCCCCACCGCGCTCACCGGTGGCCCCGCCCCCAGCTGCGGCCTGAGGATGGGTGGGCGGGGCTCGAGGGGCCCGCGCTGGTCCCCGCCCCCACCAGCCTGCGCGCGCTGGGGCCCAAGTCCTGGCCGCGCAGGCTCGGCGCCCCGGCTCCCACCTCCGCCTCCCTGGGCCTCACTTTGTCTCTGCGCCGTGTACTCCTCAGCAGTCCTCTGACACGTTCCTCGCCGGCAGTGAATGACCGCATCGTCTTTCATGGGTTTGCACCTTCGGGTTAAACTATGCAGACCCCCCCAGTCCCTGCACGCAGGCACCCCTGCTGGTCTGTTCACTGCTGAACCCCCACCGCCTATAGTGGTGACCCGCACTGAGCCCACAGGTCAGTAACTATTAGATGGAACAGCAGGATTACAATTCGGTATCCTCTTGACCTTTGGCGATCACCAACTGCAGTTTCCCTACTTCTGCTGTCATTTCAGGCAATAGAGAAGGAGAGTCAAGATTTCAGAATCCTTCCCAAGGAAAGAGAGGGGACTCCTCCACAGCCATTTCCTCTGGGTGTATGTACGTGATTGTTTATTTATTGATTTATTTTTAAAGATTTATTTATACAAGAGCTGGGGTACAGGTCAGAGGCGCAGGGAGTGAGGATTCACCAGAGACAGTGGGGAACAGATCAGGCTGACTGAAATGCACTGCTAAGGGAAGCAGCGGGTGAGACAGGAGAGGTGTGCCCGGCCATGTGGGTATCTCCCTGGCTGGCCGGGAATCGAACCCACGCTGCAGAGGCTGCCCGCAGCTTCACAGTGCGGCACTTAACCCGCTGCGCCAGTAGGGAGGCCTATGACTATTTATTTTTTTAAAGATTCATTTTTTATTTATACAGTAGCTGGGGGGTACAGGCCAGAGGCATAGGAGCGTGAGAGGATTCACCAGAGACAGAGTGGGGAACAGAACAGGCAGAGAGACTGAAAGCACTGCTGAGGGGAGCAGCCGGTGCGACAGGAGAGGTCTGCTGCGCCATGTGGGAATCTCCCTGGCTGGCCGGGAATCGAACCCATGCTGCAGAGACCACAGACAGCTTCACAGCACTGCGCTCAGCCCGCTGCACCACCGGGGAGGCCCTGTTTATTTTTTTATTATTTTTTTTTTTTTTATAGAGGCATGTTTATTTATTTATTTGTTTGTTTTGTTTGTTTGTTCTGTTTACACATGCACTGGGTACAGTCAGAAGCGCGGGAGGGTGAGAGAATTCACCAGAGCCAGAGCGGGGAGCAGAGCAGGCAGAAGGACCGAAGTACACTGCTGAGGGGAGCAGTGGGCGGCAGGAGAGGTCTGCGCGCCATGTGGGACCCTCCTCCGGTGGCCGGGGAGCAGCCGGGGATCGAACCGGCGCCGCAGAGGCCGCGGGCAGCTTCGTAACCCAGCGCTCAACCGCTGCGCCACCGGGGAGGCCCCCCTGTTTATTTTTTAATATCTCCACAGATCAGTAAAATCTTTGTAGCTGAACAACATCCTTCCATACCCCCACAGCGGTCAGGTGCCTGCCCACAGGGGCATCACTGCCCAGTGGAAAAGGCCCACAGATACCTGTTGTTTATCCTCTCAACCACCATTTCTGCCCCCACTGTGTGCTAGGTACTGCGCTAAATGGTTCTGCATAATGGGAAGATCAAGTTCCTTTTCGTGCAACATAAACATGACTTCACTGCACAACAGGAAAGGAATTTTTTTTAAAGATTTATTTATTTATGCATACAAGAATTTGGGTGTAAGCCAAAGGTACAGGGGGGTGAGAGGATTCACCAGAGAGAGTAGGGAGCAGAATAGGCAGATCTACTGAAATACACTGCTGAGGGGAGCAGTGGGGCTAGGCAGGAGAGTTTGCAGTGCCATGCGGGTTGCTTCCTGGCCGGATGGGGATTGAACTTGTGCTGCAGCGGCTGGTGATAGCTTGATAGTGCTGTCTTTAACCCCTGCACCATCAGGAAGACCCGAATTTTTTTTTTTAAGTTAAGGTTAGTATTCTTTTTTTAAAAAAAAAAAAGATTTGATTTATTAATGCATACAAGAACGGGGCGGGGTGGGGCGGGCAGTGAAAAGATTCACCAGAGAGAGTGGGAAACAGAACAGGCAGATATACTGAAATACACTGCTGGGTGGAGCAGCCAGTGAGACAGAAGAGGTCCACTGAGCCATGTGGGTCAATTCCCTGGCTGGGGATCTAACTCAGGCCTCAGTGGATTGCTATAGCTTGATAGCACTGAGGCTTAATCCCTGTGCCACCAGGGGGTTAATATCCCAGAAAAGGAATATTTTTTTCAGCTAAAAGGAATAGTAGTCCACCCTTTCAAACGTTGGTTAGGAAGGCCGGGGAAAACACAAATAATGCGTTAAAAAAAAAAAAAGGAGGGCCTCTCTGGTGGCACAGGCGGTTGATCGCAGCACTGTGAAGCTGTCCACAGCCTCTGCAGCTTGAGTTCGATTCCCTCTGGCTGGGGAGATACCTACATGGCGCAGCAGACCTCTCCTGTCTCACCCGCTGCTCCCCTCTGCACTGCATTTCAGTCAGTCTGCCTGTTCTGTTCCCTGCTCTGTCTCTGGTGAATCCTCTCACCCTCCCACACATCTGGCCTGTACACCAGTTCTTGTATAAATAAATAAATATTTTTTAATTTTAAAAAGAATATTGGCAGTCATCTGGGGAAAAATTAAGCTCTATTCATACCTCACATCTGGCAGAAACATTAATTCTAGATGAATTAAAGCTCTACAAGGGAAAATTCTATGGAATTGGAAGGAAGATACATAGGGAAATGTTTATAATCTGGGAGATTTCATGGCCCAGTAGCCATGAAAGATAAGACATATGTAACTACATAAAATAAAAAATCTCTATATGGTAAAAAGGCAAACATGGAGGGGGGTATATATGCATTCTTCATGATAAAATATTCACACCCCAAAATGTGCAGAGTTCCTCAGTCAACAAGAAGATAACACACACCCCAAGAAGAAAAAGGGAGACTCATTCATTCCTTCAGGACATTTGAGTGGGGCCTCCCTGGTGGTGCACTAGGAAACTATCAACTTAGCACTATGAAACTATCAACGAGTTTGATCCCCAGGCAGGGAACTGACCCACATGGCACAGCAGATCTCTCCTGTCTCGCCCACTGCTCTCTTTCAGTCAATCCACCTGTTCTGCTTTAAAGATATTTATGAATAAAAGAACTGGGGTGCAGGCCAGAGTTTAGGGGGGAGAGGACACATCAGAGACAGAGTGGGGAGCAGAACAGGTGGGTTGACTAAAATACATTGCTGAGGGGAATAATGGGTGAGACAGGAGAGGTCTGTGCATGTGGGTCAGCTCCCTGGCTGGGGATCGAACTCATGCTGCAGTGGCTGCAGATTGCTTCATAGTGCTTAACTCCTTGCGCCACCAGGAGGCCCTAAATAAATAAATCTTAAAGAAAAAAAAAAGACATCTGAGTGCCTGTGATGTAGCAGATATGTTCCAAGTCTGGGAATTTATCAGTGAACAAATGAGACAAAAACTCCTGCCCTGGAGCATTGATGTTTCAGTGCGGGAGACTTATCTTACTTTAGTTAGGTAAGATAAGTAAGCTGACTGGTATGTTAGACGGTGATAAGTCCCAGAGAAGAGATGAGGGAGAAATGGGTAGAGGAGTGATGCTGTAATTTTATTTTATTTCATTTTATAGAGGCATGTTATTTATTTATTTATTTGTTTGTTTGTTTGTTTTGTTTATACATGCACTGGGTACAGTCAGAAGCGCGGGAGGGTGAGAGAATTCACCAGAGCCAGAGCGGGGAGCAGAGCAGGCAGAAGGACCGAAGGACACTGCTGAGGGGAGCAGCGGGCAGCAGGAGAGGTCTGCGCGCCATGTGGGATCCTCCTCCGGTGGCCGGGGAGCAGCCGGGGATCGAACTGGCGCTGCAGAGGCCGGGCAGCTTCGCAACCCAGCGCTCAACCGCTGCGCCACCGGGGAGGCCCTCATTTTATTTTTTAAGATTGGTTTATTTTTATACAAGAGCTGGGGTAAGGCCAGAGGCGGGGGAGGGTGAGAGGATCCACCAGAGACAGAGCGGGGAACAGAACAGGCAGACGACCGAAATATACTGCTGATGGGAGCAGCGGGCGCGACAGGAGAGGTCTGCCACACCATGTGGGATCCTAGCCGGCTGGCCGGGATCAAACCTGCGCTGCAGTGGCTGTGGACAGCTTCACAGCGCTGCGCTCAACCCGCTGCACCGCCGGGGAGGCCGATGCTGTAATTTTAAATAGCAGAACAGACGCAGACAGGACATTGGGCTCCACAGAGACAGCACCAGGCAAGTGAGCACTGGGAGATTCTGCCTCACTGAGGAAAAATAATTAAACCCAGGCCAAGGAGCTCCCAAGAAGCAGAGGTAACATGTCACCATATGCTTTTTTGTGTGCAAACTTGCCAGGAGGAGCATAAGCAGCAGCACCCAGATGCTTCGGTCAGTCTCTGGAGTTTTCTTTAAGATTTATTTTATTTACTTATGCATATAAGAACTGGGGTGTAGGCCAGAGGTGTGTGTGTGTGGGGGGGGGGGGTTGAGAAGATTCACCAGAGATGGAGTGGGGAGCAGGACAGGTGGATCTACTGAAATACACTGCTGAGGGGAGCAGCGGGGAGACAGGAGAGGTCTGCTGCGCCCTGTGGGTTAGAGTTTTTTAAGAAGCACTCAGAGAGGTGTCTGCAAAGATGGTGTCTGCAAAGAGAAAGGAAAGTTTGAAGACATGGCGAAAGCAGACAAGCCTGTAATGAAAGAGACGTGAAAATGTATGGCCTCCTAATGGGGAAACAACGCAGTTCAAGGATTCCAAAGCACCCAAGAGGGCACCTTGGG